TCCATGTTATTTCTTCCGCTTGTTCTTGTCATTTTGTTAGGAAAGCTTTGTGATATTGAGGCTATATCCGGCACGTGACTCAAAGCCAGTGCGCGCATTTAGAGTTTTGGCAGTATCTTCAATATCTTTTTCTAGAGAAAAAAAAAAAAACTTAGCTGATAGCTTAATGCAACTTGGGCAAACTAATAATCCCAATTCACTTCTACCATCTTTTTGCTTTATTTTTGTCTCTTGCTATATTTAATAATGGCATCAGTTTACAAGTCGCTTTCAAAAAGAAAAAAGAAAGATACTCCTAGGGTCAATGCGGAGGACGAGGATGTTGACATGGATGTGATGGACGATTTCGAGGACGACAGCAGTGAAGAGGACGAAGAGAAAGAAATATCGGAAGACGATTCAGAGGTCGGCTCGGATGATGACAATGAAGAAGACGGTGGCGTTAACACGACACCCAAGAAGAGCTCACAATCGCAAAAGAACCCGGCTTTTATGCCAAAAACTAGAGTCCTTGTGCTCACCTCCAGAGGTGTTTCGTACCGGTATGGTTTTGTGTCTTCCACTACGAGAGAAAGGACACCGAGCTCCGGGACTCTCAACAATTGCTCCATTTGAATGATGGCTGACTTTCACCTCATAGACACCGTCATCTAGTTGCCGACCTCACTGCCCTGCTCCCACATACGTACAAAGAAAGCAAACTCGACACCAAAAAGTCACAAGGATACAACTTCCTGCTCAACTCATTGGCCGATCTCCATTCATGCAACGTTGTTTTCTTCCTCGAGGCACGCAAGCAGGGCCAAGATCTATACCTGTGGCTCTCAAGGCCTCCCAATGGCCCCACGCTCAAATTCAGCGTTACCAATCTACACACAATGGGCGAGCTAGGAACTGGGTTCGCTGGAAACTGTCTCAAGGGAGGACGGGGCATTGTCGTTTTTGACCCTTCATTCGATGACAATGTTGTGCTACAGAAGGGCAACGAGTGGAGGGGACTGGTCCGAGAAATGCTACGAAGTGTGTTCGCCGTGCCCAAACGAGGCGTTCGAGGTATGAAGCCGTTCGTCGACCGGGTAATTGGCATCTTCGCTGTGGACGGAAAGATCTGGATCCGAGTCTACGAAATTAGAGAGACGGACGTGGCTACTGCCACTAAGAAGGCGGAAGAGGAACTTCAAAATGCCGCCGCCGGGGAGAAGAAGAAGAAGTCAAAGGGTGCTGGTGCTGGTGGCGGTAAGGGCGGGCCTGAAATCTCGCTGGTCGAAATTGGACCGCGGTTTGTCCTTACGCCAATCGTGATACTGGAGGGAAGCTTTGGTGGCCCGGTTATCTATGAGAATCGCGAATATGTGAGTCCCAACCAGGTCAGACGCGAAATACGGATGAAGAAGGCCTCTCGATACAATTCCAGGAGAACGGGACAGATTGATAGGAACGTCAAGAAGACGGAGCTGGGATTGAATACTGAAAGCTCAAAGGATAAGAAGGTCGATGAGCTTGATTCAAGAGTACTGTTTGCATAGAAAGTTTTTACTTCTGGCTCTGATTACCTACTAGTATTGGTGGGATTTGGGTGTGGTATTTGCTTCTTCTGTTCTATCGCGATATCCCTTTTATCCTCAAAAAGCTGGCCGGTGTAAATAGGAGTAAATGAACCTCTCGATTTCATTAACCTTTCCCTATATTAAGGCTTCTCTCGCCCAATATACATTTGCCAAGCCCGATGTATATCATTTATTATGTAATCAAAGTCTATATCAGCGACGCACGATTATGTCTTCGAGCTCGTTCGCCTTCTCTCTCCTTTCTAACCACGATTCCATAGCACCATGGCAATTCCCACCAATTTCAGCCCTTTGCGGCTTGGACACTCCCTCAGAATGAATATACCATCAGTTACTGATCATGCAGATGTGATCACCCTTTCTATAGCCCCCCGGGACGGAGGGGTGGTCGCCTGTTGAACTACGCAGCTCCGTGCACGGAGAGACTGGTTGATTTCTTTCCCTTCTAGAGGGACTATATCAAACATTTGTCCGTGTCATATTGCTTTGTTACCATTCGATCCTCTCTGTCCTTAATATTACTCAACTCTCTATCTTCATCTACTTCCGCCGATCGATTAGACGAGTGAACAGGTTCGAGAACCGTGCCACGCCTAGACGTTCAACCACAACTGAAGCTGAATATTCAGAATATAAATTTGAAATAAAAAGTGTGTTCGTACAACTGTTGCTTTACCGTCTTGCAAAATGCCGGGGGAGCAAGCTGACCAGATCCTATATAGCTACCGGAGATATCCCCTACTATTATTACAATGTTACCATATCTGTTCCCAACGGAGCTGCTGCTCCAGATATTTCAATCTTGCACATCCATTGCCGACATTCTAAACTTAGCTCTTACCTGCCGCCGATTTCACCAAATTTTTGCATCCTCTCAAAAGCTGCCACTTCTTGCCTCTGCTGCAGAGGCTGAATACGGTCCATTGAAGGATATTATCCAATTGGTGACTCAGAACTCCAGCCAGCCCGCACATGCGATTCGCGAAGCTCCCCTTTCAATCAATCTCCTTCAGCAAATTGTTGCAGTTGGGCGTGTGGCTCGAAAATGGGAGGAAATTTACCCTGTCAAGAAATGGAAAGTCGACTTCGAAGATAGACGACTATTGACCGACCACGAACGATACACCCTTCGCCGCGCGATTTACCGACTATGGCTGTATTCTAGGGCATTTCACTGCGCTTTCTACCCACGCGGGTCACGAGCAGTTCCTGCCGTGGTCCGCGAGCGAGCTGAGTTGCTGCATAATTGGTCAACAGACGAACTAGCTGAGATAGAAGACACGCGCCTGGTCATTCGTGAAGTGGTTCAAAATCATATTTGTCCGAGTAACGGTACTATTCAGCGAAAGTTCCACAAGCGTTTCCCTGAAAACACTCAGTCCCTCTCGTTCAACATTCACTTGAACTACCCTCCATCGCACGGTTCGTCCGATTTTTACTTTGCGGATCCTTATCGTTCGCATACTCCGCCACTCCATGACAAGGAAACCTTCTTCCTTAACCCCTCGAAAAATGATCGATCTGGAACAAGCCAATTCTCAACTTCCACAAACAAATATGCCACCAAATTTCGCTTGGATCTTTATCATGATCCAGGCGCAGAGGGCTGGGGCGATGAAATCCCTCATTATTATGTGGTAGAGGATATGTTGAAGTTAGATCCCGGACAGGTCATCTGGTTGAGGGAGAACACGCGACTCAAGGAACAAGTGGAACGATACGTCAAGTCCATTGGAGAATGGTTTGAAAATAACGGAGAAACCTTTGGTCAGACTCTTGAATGGGTTCTTAATGAGCGTGGAGAAGACATAGAGGCATTCAAAGACGCCATCTTTGATCAGGAACTGGGAATTGCAAAATCTGATATGTGATGGTTCATTTTCAATTTGTTTACCATTAGCAAGTACCTGTCAGCGTCGATTATGAGATGTCATTCCTGTGTTGTAATCTCTTGATTCTCTCTCTTATGGCTTGCGCTAGAGAACAATAACCTCATATGAAGTTCTGGGTAGATATCGCCAATTTTTTATACCTAGTCTGTAGTGATGAGGGACATAAACTTCTAATGTACCTCCATTATTCGTTTTATTTGGTATAAAAGGAGCCATTGACATTCGGTCAAAATTAATCAATTTCCCGCCCGAGCCGCCTACGGCTGAGAATTAAACACCATGTTGTTTATGTATATATGGAACACAGGTGAAACAGGTGGCTGCTTCTTTGCCCAACACAATATCTGCCTAACATCGTCCGTTGCCTCCCTGGATACCATTTAGTCTTGAACTCTTCTAGATTTGAGAATTTAAAGTTTTCGATCGATTGTAAGGATGGCTTTCGATCGTGACGAGCTGGACAGGAACGCAGTCTTGATATCAGCATGGCCAGTAGGAGTATACATGTAGTAAAAAAATCTGCCGGAGGTTAGGGTCAAGCCCACGGAATACCATGAGGATATAAGAAAGGAAATCTGATAAGTAATTAGAGGGCGGAAAAAGGGGAAATATGAAAAAGTAAGGCATCTCCTATCATAGAACAAGTTCGTTGTAGAATCCGATTGAAAAGGAATGAAAAACCGATCATTATCCTAGGCCGGATGAGAAGGGACTGGAAGTAAAGGGGGGAGGGAGAAGATGTAATAACAGAAATGTAAACGCAGCACAAAAGAAAACCAGGATATGAAGCTCCAGCCACCAGTACCCTTCATAGTTGCTTTGCACATTAAATGACATCCAACGTAAACACGTAGAAATAGGATAGGATTCGATCAATCAACAGCACCCTTGTTTCTTCTCGGAGTCTGGGGTTTTGGTAATTTCCACGACTTTGCGGTCGCCGAGCTGGTTTGCGGAAGAATCGCCACTTTCAAGGGCCTTACTTGATACAATGCGGAAAATTTCTGCCAGGAGGTCTTAGTCACAAGAACTCAAAAAATCCAACAGAGTGATCTTACCAGTGAGAATATTTTGGAAGGCAAGCTCGACATTGCTTGCGTCCAAGGCAGAAGTCTCAATGAAAGATAAGTTATTTTCACCTAAAACCATCAAAGTTAGCTGAGGAACTATACAAATATTTTGCCTCCCAAGAAAGCTGCAACATACTCGCAAATTGTTTGGCCTCCTCAGTGGGCACAGCCCGCAAATGTCTAAGATCGCTCTTGTTTCCGACCAGCATGATGACGATGTTCGAGTCGGCGTGATCCCGTAGCTCCTTCAACCATCGAGTAACGTTCTCGTAGGTCTGATGCTTGCTGACATCGTAAACAAGAAGAGCGCCAACAGCGCCACGATAGTAAGCGGAGGTTATGGCGCGATATCGTTCCTGTCCAGCAGTATCCCAGATCTGAGATTTGATGGTTTTTGAGTCAACTTGGATAGATCGAGTAGCGAACTCTACACCAATGGTGGACTTGGAATCGAGGTTGAATTCATTGCGCGTGAATCGGCTCAGCAGATTAGACTTGCCGACTCCAGAATCTCCGATAAGCACCACTATACAGGTACCAACACTGTCAGCTATCTCGCGCTAAATCTATAAGACTGCCAGAGAAACAGAGGAGGGGGGTAGGTTTGTCTTTCAACTAGGACTGCTTGGTGGCATGCGGACAGGAGTGCGGGGAGAGGCGACAGACCCTTAAATAGGAACTACATTTTCAACCATGTGTTAGATCACAGATTCCAGCAGCTGAGCGGTAAACCGTGGAATATAACTCACATCGTATTCGTCGTTAGCCATGAGTAGCGCTGTTGGAGGAGTGTGCTGGTATGAACAGGCAACAGGGCTGCTTGTAGCTGAGCAAGGGAGTTCTAATCTGGAGTAAAGTGCAGGGTCTAAGATAGCAGGGAGGCCGTGGGTGCGAGAGTAAAAACAGAGTGTCCTTCGCTTGGAAGCAAGCTGTTGGTTTGTAGTATGTCTTTCGTCAAAGTGGGCAACGAGATGCAGCTAGAACGGAATGTCTCCCCTGACTTTTGGTGGATTTGGACGGAGGTCGTTGTGCTTTTCCGGAGTACGCAGAACGCACTCGGGCAAACGAAGTCGCTGGTACTTCACATAACATGTGACTTCCCGCAAAAACTCAGGTACAGGTAACATTAGTCAGCAAGCTGAGTCATCTAGGCTGGTTATGTCATTGCCTGTTCCAAAAGGGGTTAAGCGTAGAAATTCACTTAGTTTATCAAAGAAATAATAATAATAATAATAATAAAATAACATATATATTTCAAGCTTTGCCGAAGACCTGAATAAAACAACGAGACAAGAAACATCTAAGGTGCGGAGTTGAGGAGCTGAGAGGCCGAAGGGGAGCTTTTCTGGGGCAGCACTGGCTGCAAGGGACTGACCGTATCTAGTGGATACCCCCGGAGTGACTTTCACCTCGTGAAGGGAGAAGAAGCAGCGCGTCTAGTTCTCTCAGACACGGTCTGTCTTAGCTACGGCCTACATCTGCCTGTCTTGCACAACAGCTAAACTAGCTAATGAAGAATTACGGCTGCTTTAGCTATTCTGAATTGGCCTTCTGGTCAATATATCTGTGTTCTTTTCTTTAACCTGATGGTCCCCCGATGGCGTCTCAGGGTGCCTTAGATAGGGGTGAGGATGATGAGGATGCCATCTCACTCACATCCACTGTGCCTAGTGAGCCACAGGAAGAGTATAATATAGCTGGCGTACTGGCTGAGAGGATCGCGGACAACGGCGCGACCGAATATCTTGTCAGCTGGGAAAACTATCCCATTCATAGGTCCTCCTGGGAGCCGGCAGAGAATTTTGGGGACCCTGAAACCACGCTGAGAGAATGGAACCAGAAGAAAGAGGCAATCACGAAGGGAGCTGCGCCCGAGTTTGACCTCGTTGCTTTTGAAAATCTCCTCGCAGGAATAGAGGAGGCCAAACTACGAAGGAAAAGAAAACGTAGGCTCAAGCGGATGCGTCTTGGGCTGGCCTGCGGAAGCGAGTCCGGGGACAACAATCCAGAAAGCAACGAGGAAGCTAATGGTGATGGCAGCAGCAGAAGCAGCAGCAGCGATGAACCCACGAGCTCCCGCATTTCTCCTGCCTCGAGGAAAAAAGGGGCTGGGATCCTCCTGCCAAAGCAAAAGTTGATGGCTACTCGAAAGTCATCCAGTAGCGCAGCTGGTAGCTCAGATACAACCAAGGGACGTACTTTTAAGACAGCTCTCCGTGAGGCGTCTCAGCCTCCAAGGCAGCTAAAGATACCCCCTTCCTCAAAATCAAAAGTACCATCTACGGCGCCTCCCCCTATAAAATTGTCTGAAAAACCTGGAACTAGGCTACCGATCAGAACATCCTCTATCAATGTTATAGAGCCCGGGAATGAGGGTCAGACGGTGCAGCCACCAACCGCTAATCCTCCCACCAGCATGGCTCCTACAAGAAAGTCTGTATTCACTTTCGCACCTGCAACGGCTCGAAGAGGCGGCTCCATGACCGCGGCAGTAGGGAGCAGGCAGCCCTCGGGACCCCCAAACAACAGACTCTTTCGAACCCTATCAACTCAGCGGAAATACCACAAAATGTCTCGAACCGAGAGGCCCCCTGACATTTCTCAACTTGATCTTCGGCCTCCAAGCGAGTGGTTGACCGCTGCAGGAAGGTCTGCACTTCCAGAGATCTCTTTAGGTAGGAAACGTATCGGAGCAACTTCAATGTCATCGTCGATAGATGATTTGTTCGTCGCTGAGGATGATAACAACGGTTCTCTCCCAAATAACCCGCCTCCCGTGCTTTCCAAGGATTCTAACACGAACGCCGACGGCAAATCCCTATGTACAAGGATTTGGCGTGAATGGAACAAAGGGGATGTTATGGTTCACCTTGTATTTAGTGCAAAGGAAAAAGTTATTGGAGATATACGTATCACCGGTCTCCCTCATTCAGCTAGATCTTGGTTGCTTTCTTTAAAGCAAGGTGATCAAATTGTTATTGATCTTCTGGAACTTCGCTCCCCCAAGGAGTTTCTCCAGCTGGTACGTGACCAACTCTCTAATACAAGATAAATTTTTAGGTATTTCTAACTTATTATTCTTGCAGGAGCCTAACAAAGTTAATCATGGGCATGTTATCCCTTATAACGATACGATGAATCAAGTAAATAACTTAACAGAGTATCTACTTAACAATCAATCAGCTGCAATATGGCGTTCCCCAGCCTGGCCAAGTCGCAGTATAATTATATACCCTTCCCAAGCTTATGAGTGGAGATTTCTTCATAAGCAAACACCATCACATCCATCCCCAATGCTTCGGCTTGTCATTATAAATCTACCTGATGCCTCTGAGTTAAGAAAAATACTGCTGCCCAGTCCAATACCAAGTTCTTCACATCAAACACAGTCAGATGTGCAACCAGGGAAAGGCCCAGAAGACGTTGTACTTGCCCAAGGATACTCAGAAATAGCTGTCGGCACCGCTACCGATACACCAAGTTTGGTTTCTTTGCATGAACCACCTCGCACTACAACTCTTACTCCTCTTAAGGCACCGCTGCCTCCGAATGAATCGACTTCATCACCAGCACAACACTCGTCACGAGAACCTGCCATCAAGCCACTACCCGAGAGGACCCGGGATTTAGATGTTGAGACTTATTTTCAAAACCACTACCGAATCACTTTCGAATACTTAACTCGTTCGAAGTATTCAAAATATCGCAAAGAGACACTACCCGTGTTTTATCTTATATTCCCCTCAATAGAAAGGGAGGAACATGACTTGATTCAACAACTATTGGTCTTCAACAGAATAGCTCCCTATTCCCACAGGAACCAAGGGGACTGGACAAAGTTTATCAAAGATGTGGCCGAAGCAGAAATAAAACCGCAAGGCGTAATAATTGTAAGCAAATCTATAACTTCCCCCGCCTGCTTGATATACGTATCTAACCAGCAGGATGCTATATATAGTGTCATCAGAAGTTTAATGCCTATAATTGCATGCCTAAACTTCAGGAACTTCTTCACCACCAAGTAAATGTATTCTCTTTGTCACTGGCGCGCCCATTTAAATCTGTGAATAAAAGGCACCATATTATTCGGCTGTTCCCTAATGGATGTGTGATTCTTATAACGGAGGACTTCATTCTTCACGACCCTAAAAGCGCATTGATGGTGATAAAATGGGTCTCTAATATGTTTTGGGATAATAATGCCAAACGTGGCCCTAAATTATTTTTCCGCCCAAATATACGACTTTGGCTACAACAGCTGTGGCCAACTTGGCCGGATGAGACGTAAGCTACCAGTTACCAAATTACCCACATTCCCTTAGTATAGGGAACATTAACTAACCTCCCATTCCTACGCAGTCTATACCATATTTTTTGCATTCTAGAAGCTCTCATACCCGACTATTCCAGCGGATGCTACGTTCTTGGTCGCGAAGACTACCCCTGGAGCTTGGATGGAGAAACAGATGACGAGGGTCAGCCTCACGTCGTCATTTCTTCCCCTCATATACCGAATTATGGCTGGAGATCTGAAGATGAGCATCCAGATATACCTAAGAATTTGACGCAAGGGGCGCGAAATACCGACCATCTTGTTGAATATTTCGCAGGCTGGGCCATCAGTAATGTCGAAAATTTCAGGTATTTCCCTGTGCTGGTACATTCCATGCCCCAATTACGATGGGAAAAATGGAGCCATGTAAGTTGTACCCCATGAAATTAATCTATTGTCTTCATACGGATAAAGTTCTATTGCTTCTCTGTCAGTGATAAAGCTAACTATGTATCAATAGATTGAGATACTAAACTATCCTGCTTTCTATGAAATATACATGAAGGCTGACATAGCGGCCACTAGCGAGTCAACACGAAACCAAAAAGGTCCTTCTCAACCTGCGATAGCTGACAGCCAAACTAGTACATGATGGCCGAATTCAGGCGTCATATATTTCTTGATTCAATATCAAATGGCGAGGCATACCATACTCACCAATTTCTGTTGACAATATCAACCATGTACAACGTTTCCTTTGCTTTGGTTAAGATTCAGCCGTTGTACTCCTAGGACGTACATCTTTGGTTTCGGAGGCACTATATTCTCGAAAAGGAGTATGAATAAGTCGAGGAAAAGGAAAGGAATAATAATAATAATATTCGTTGTCATCATTCGAAGGATATAATCACACCCATACTCCTGTTATATACAAACTCTAACGCCAAAAAAAAAAAAAAAAAAAAAAAAAAAAAAGAGCCGGTCTCCCGCTAACTGTAAATTAAGATGCCCCTGCAACCGAACCAGCAGTTGAGCGTGACCGCCACTCCTCAAAACTATGCGGTTGATTTCGGACTCTGCCTTCTTTCGGGGCGTCTCTCTCTCTTTTCATCCGCTCCTCCCACTCACCCTCCTCTGCAGCAATGAGCGCATGGAATTTCCCGCTCTGGCCACGAGAGAGATACACGGCTTTCTCCTTCCGCGCTGCAACGGCTTCGGTGACAAGGACAAACTTCACGCTTGATCCCGGTGCTTCGAACATTGCATCAGCCAGAATCGATTCCATCTCTGTTCGTAAGGCGCGAGCTCCTGTGGACATCGCGAATGCATTAGCCGCAACTTTATGGAGAGCGGCGGTGGTGAAGCGTAGTTCTATTCCAGAAAGGGCAAAAAGTGTGGTATATTGGTTTACTAACGAATTGCGTGGTTCGGTGAGGATTCGGAGGAGGAGGGAATGGGATAATGGGGATAGCGCAGAGGTGATGGGGATACGACCAATTAATTCTGGGATAAAACCATATGCCTGAAGGTCACTTGGTGTAACAAGATCGAGAGGGTTAAAATATACAGGCTCTTCATCAGGTGCCGTTGGTGTTTGCGTTGGTGTGAAAAAGGGAAGATACTTCTTATACAGGGCTTCTTCATGCGACCCAGGAAGTATCGGAATAGGTGCGTTGTTCTTCGTTTGCGTTGAATCATTTTGAAATGACGAGGCTCGAATTGGTTGTCCGAAGCCAATTGACCCTCGTGATATTCTGTCCATGATGACCTTTTGTAGGCCAACGAATGCTCCAGAAAATATGAAGAGTATGTTATCTGTTCGAATGTTGTACACTTCTGCCTTTCCGGAAGGACCCGAGGTTGAATTATATGAGGTCCCACCCGAGGAGCCACTACCTCCAGGGCTAGGGCGCGAGGCGTTTCGCTCGGGTTTTGCTTGAATCTGGATAGTTGTACCCTCGATGATTTTCAACAATGCCTGTTGAACTCCTTCCCCGCTTACATCTTTGCCGTGACTAACCTTTGCAGTGGCAATCTTGTCAATTTCATCAAGACAGATAATACCTCGTTCGGCTTGTTCCACATCATAGTTCGCCGCTGCAAGGAGGCGGTGAACGCATACATCGGCATCTTCGCCAATATACCCCGCCTGGGTAAACGGTGTACAGTCAGACATACTGAACGGCACTGAAAGGACACGGGCGAGTGTCTTTGCCATCAATGTTTTGCCCACACCAGAAGGTCCTAGTAAGAGTATGTTGGATTTCTCCAGCATGTTAATGGATGAATCAACAAGAGGGTCTTGTTCTGAAGGTAAATTGTCATCATAATATCTCCTTGGGGCGGAAAGATGTATAGTCCGCTGCTGACCTGGGAATTCATCTATAGTAATAGCACCAGTTAGCTTTTATACGGGGCCGGTCATTGTTGAATAATCTTAGGCCGAGCAGGAAGGTTCATACCTTCTACTGGATGACTCTCCATCGACTCCCTCCGTGCCCTCTGAGCAAGGAGTTCTTCATGTTCTTCTAGCCTCCTTTGTAGTTCCTGAACTCTCTGGTAATGGTTATAAACTGCCACACTCAACACGCGCTTGGCACGATCCTGTCCAACGACGAAGTTGTCTAAGTGCTGCTTCAGCACCTTCGGAGTGACTCGAGGAACACCGAACGAAGGTGTCAACCCCAAGGGTCCCGGCGTAGGTATCCCTGTCTCATAGCTATTTGTATACGGCTGGTTTGTAAAATCTGATCTGTGAAACTGGGTAGACTTCGATGCCGAAACTGAGAAGCTCCGACGAATCGAATGGAGCGCAAGGTAGGAGAATCGAGCTCGGGAGTGGGCAGTAGACGTGGTTAATGCCATAATCTCCCGCCGTAGGAGTATATAAATGTATGGATGGAGGAACCTCATGTGCTGGAGCCTGTCGGCGTTGGACAGGAATTGCTGGCGTTGTTGTCATCGAGAGTGGCTCTTCCCAGCGGGCAAAGCGACTGGGAGCCGAGGTAACACCACGTGACTCCCCGCGATCGTCCGCCATTTTATCCGTTAATTACATCTTATCTCCACGTGATCGAAAGTTTAGTTAGCCAAGTTCGATCAGATAACTAACGAACTAGACGCGGCACAATTCTACCCTTATTCTATTTCCTTATACTATCGGCCATAACTGGCATATTGCTAAGATACCACTATTCCCTCTAAAGATAAAATCCTTATTGTAAGCCCTACCTTCATGCCTTACCACTTCGGAACTAGTTAGTATCGAAGTCTGCCACTACATCGAAAGGAGTGAGCCCACACTAATGGTAGACAGAGCTGAAGTTTTCTGACAGTTAGTTAACCGGGACAAGAATATCGGTGGAGTATATAACAACTACGCCTTTAACGGTATCGCATTTATCCAAAATGATTACTTGTTACTTTTAGGAAGAATCATCCCCTGGTATGGAGATCTAGGGGCGTTTTGAGTATAGGAGGTATTTAAGTGTAGTTAGAATCTACTCCCAAAAAATGACACTGGTTGTCTAGAAGTTCCTAGAGGTTTTGTGGAATAACATAATGAATTTAACTAAAGAAGAAGAAGAAAGAAAGAAAGAGAGGGAAGGAGGGAGGCAGGGAAAAGGACAAAAGAACCTGGCCACTTTATACAGGATATGTTTATCATTGAGGGTGATTATCCTTGAGCTGAGCTGGTGGCCCAGCATAAAAACAGAAGTGGATGATGTATTTCAATATTCGGCCAAATACCAAGGCCCAGTAATAAAGTGGAGAGAAACAGCGAATTCCAACGGGAATACTGCAATACCATCCTCTCACCAGCGGAATAAATCACCTTTATGGGCTTTCTTGAGTAAGTTCAATGTGAACGATTGAAAATACAAGCCCAAGAACTTCATATGATTTACTGAAGTTGGTTCGAATGGCCCAAATTCATGCATAGTCATAAAAACCCTGTCGTGGTGTTTCCCAGTTTTTAAGTATTCTATATAGTCGTTGTCATACTCTGCAATGATAATATAGACCTCATGGCAGTCCTGGGATATCATCAACCGTCTAAGATACTGTCAGTCTCCCTAATCATTATCCATTAATGTTATTGGGGACCTACCTATATCTGATACCGGTTTGCTTCACCACGTCAGGTTCTGCATTGATCCAAGCAGCCATTTGCGCACTTTCTTGCGCATGAGGTAACGCTACGTCTCGTACTCCTGCTTTCACTTCCAGAATAGCCAAGGAAATATCCATTTTATCGGTTCGGAATCTGAGGTGACCGTCAGTTCTAGCTTCGTAGAGCTTTCTTGTGGGGGTTTTGAAGACGAAAGCCTTCTGTTCCAGGGTCCATGGAAAGTCGACCAAGGATTGTTGGCTGAGGCAAACTGCATTGAGGGCCAAAATTAGAGCCGTATTCACGGTTTGTTCGTCGTCAGCCGGAGGGAATTGATAGCCTTCACCAGCTGCCGCGGGAGAAAGGTCGTCTATAACCATGGGGCTGCCCTCTTCATCATCATCTAAAACAGACATGTTCATTCCCCTGTTGGTTGGTGTTTGTGGACGAGAACGGCTAGCAAGTGGATATGCATCCAGTCGAGACGGAAAATTGTAAGATTGAGGCTGGCCAATAGAACGTCCGGGAGTGCTGAAAGGGTCTGAACTTGATGAAGGAAGATTCGTAGCCAGAGTTTGCCTTGAAGCCATTGCTTGCCTTGTCCGTGAAGAAACAGGAGACGCAATTTTATCCGAGTCGTTCTGTGAATCCCCAGGCAACCGTGCAACCTGCTTTTGAAAGGACCACAACATGTCAAACCTGCCAAATTTTGGCTTGTCGCCGAGGCCTGTTGTCTGGAGGGTGTGATAGTATTCTTTCCAAATCGACATACCCCCAAGATTCAGCTTTGCGGCTTCCAACGACAAATCCCAATTGTTGTAATTAAATGTGCCAGCTTTGTACCTTTTCCACAGGACACGGAGAGCAAGAAATTGGTGCTCTCCAATCTTGGAGCCTGATTTCAGGCTATCAAGGTTATGGATTGGCTGGAACACAACACCGTGATCATCGACGTGCTTGAGCCATTCTGCTCGGCTCGAGGGGAGTGTTATGGGCATAGTGCCAGCAAGAATGAGTTGCGGTTAACCGTCAATGATATCGGTACTTTATCGCAAATCGATGGGCTTGCCTTTTTGGCTCGGCCGTTTGAGAAGTGGTTATATAGCGATGGATATCTTCTGATAAATGTTGCCCTGAGATGGAGAAAGGGAAAGGGGGATTGGGAATCGTGAACTTTATGTATGAGACCTTGTAACAAACGATTCACTTTCCAGTGACTAAATATCTATACTTATAGAGCGCAAGGTGTCCTTCACTTACTTCGTTCACTTAACCGCCGGATAGTAGTTAATAATAGTACCCATCCATGCTTACTCTGCCTCTACGCGCCAGGAGAAATTTTCCAAGGTAGCTTGTAGCCTATAAAACTCGTAATATGCATCACAGGAGTTGATTGACCAGGATTAGTAAAAACAGAGATACGCACCTTGAGGTTTTGCCCCCCTCCCCCAGGCGAAAGCAATATACAGACGCCTTTTGATTCGCTGTCACTGCCAATTTGGCCCCCAAAACGTTCCGTTTCATTTTTGTGTTTCTAAGAAAGTGACGCCTATATCATCAGTGCATGGGCGGGAAAATAACATGGGTGCCCATGCTTCTATCGCTCTATGCGTCGGGAAGTTTTGAACATCCATGCCACGCATGACAGGGGCTGTAGCCCCAGGAGTTTTACTCCTTCTCCAGAATCATGGAAGGCTGTTCTCTTGATTCGCCATGCCCGTTTGGCCCCTCCTCCTCCCTGATAGAACTCCCCGTATATGCATGGTTCCATGATCAGAATCACATCAACAACGTGCGTACATATGGCGGGAGATGCCTGCTGAGATTGCTGATTTGTGGATCGACGTTGCCGGTTAAGCGCCCGGGGCTGAAAAGTGGAGACTAACCAACAACCAACAGCTAACAAACTTCGGGCAGCGCGCTAAGTGAGTTGGTGAAATGGGGAATTAGTCAGCTAACTAACTATTATTAGCTTTTGTGTTGATTTGCTGCTCGCAACAACTACCTTAACCGCTGCGACACAGCACCTTCAGCATATATACTCCAGTCTTCCCTCTTCTACCCTCCACCCCTCTTCCTTCTATCCTTCAGAATTCAGATCATCCATGAGATAGTTACTTCCTTACCACTTATTTTACGTCTGTGAAACTGAGATCCATAGTCCAGCCCTTCCAGTCATGTCACGAGTCATCGGTCGGCCCAAGCGAACGAGTGCAGAGGTCGCTCAGATACTCCAAACAGCGGTGAAAAATGGCTTAGATCGAAAGCAAGCAGACCGAATTCTTTCTAAAGCCAAAATGAGTGACTATCTCATGAAAATTTACGACCACTTGGATGCTTTGAAAAACCCCTACCTGACTCCAGAAACCAACTTACCAGGTATCAAAATCAATATGGGTGTCAAACCAAGATTCTTTGAACAGACGAGCGAGAGGGAGCTAAAGGAGAAATATAATCTTCCAACATTCCAGCTTGACCCCCATACCAAAGAGAGTCCAATCCCCCCGAACAATTCCGACTCATCTTACGGTCTCTGGCTGGATTTGCAAGAAGTTTTCTCGAAAGTTGGCCTGTTAGCTGAGAAATCACTGGCTCGCCAGCGTGGACTGGAAATACTTGAGTCAGTCGAGAATGCTATCTTCCTTTGAAAATATCTGTAAATACTAAACATCGTCATTTCTAGGAATCGCCATGGTGATAACCCAATGATGATAGAATTTACTGGCTCTCCAACTCGAACCCACGATTATCAGTGGTGCACAAAAATGATTTACAAATACAAAGATTTCCCTCACCTCATGGTCAAGTCCCTCCATAAGATCACTAGGGATGGCACGGAGAATTGCATCTTACGAAGCGAGTTGATGATCCTTGTCAGACTCATAGTATTGAAGGCCCGCAAGGACGAAAACGAGCCTCATGAGATCTTCCCCGTACGTCACACATGTGTTTATCTAACCCCCCAACTTCCATTCACTAACATATTTCAATAACTAGGTACTTTTAATATCCGTCCGTCCCTATCAGTATGTGATTATTGAGGCATACTTCGATGGCAAATACGTCCATGTGAACTATGGTAAACCCATAGCCATGTCCGATAAGTTGCCACCCAAAGAACAAGACCGGAGAATGAAGTATGTGATCGGCTGGGCAACAGCCCAACCCTGTGGGAAAACCGCCAGCTATAAAGACAGCCCGCAGTAATTGGAGGACTATGACTAAGTTTGATGTGGTATGCGGACGAATTTGCTAGGACTTCGCGCTTTTTGCTTTGGCTTCGAAACTTGATTAAGCTACCCCCAGAGATGATTTTTTTTTGTTGGCTCGCACGTAAATAGTTTTTGTTTTTCTTGTGACGCCGGCGATGGAAATTTGATGGCCATGTGGTATTTCATTTGTCCAGGCGTTAGTGGTGCTTTCTACATAGTTACGACAGAATAACATCAAGTCTCCATGTTTAACTGCTAAGTCCATGAATTCAATGTCTTGCGCATTACTAAAGCCGGTATTAACTCTCGTGAAAATTAAATTAAACCAATAGATGCTCCGGATATCATAATAATGAGTGTGAATTGGCTCATTTTAGACCCGACACAACCCTTGTTTATCCCAAGCCTCGCTGCCTACTCCCGAACGGACAAAAAAGAGGCCCCTTGGATCCCATCTGTTCTTCACACGGAGAAGAGTATTATAATTAGTGCCCCAGAAGGTCTGTTGAAACCTTGGCTCGTTCACATCAGCCTCATTGGTATAAGCACCCATATCAGGCTCCACAGCAGCGAGCAATGGTATTTCTTCCGCAGTCAATTTGGTTGAAATCTTCTCCTGTTCTGCAAAGGTGGAGTCGATACTCCAGTCACGACTGATGACAAGGTGAACCAATGCTTTTCTCCATGAAGGATTGAGCGCACTTTGAATATGTGTGTTCTTAGCGACTTGTCCGCCAGCAACTAGATGTCCAATGGCAGGTTGCAGATTTTTAAAATCCAGCTTGGAAAGCGCAGTGGTGAGATTTGCTGCACCTCCTGGAGTCTCAAGGAGTTTCCTGGAGAATAATCTTGAGCCTAGGATATTTACTCCGCCGCCGTCTCGAGGTGGTTTCTGATCAAAAGCGGACCTGAAAGCTTCAGTTGACGACGAAACTGGGACGCTAACGCTGGCAACGTTGATTCCAGGGATTGAGGAGAGGCTGGCAAAAAGGGGCCTATAGAGGTTGTCGACATGTGCTTTGTCTGTCTTGTTTGCATAGTAAAATGCGGCAATAATAACAGCTGCGCTTTGTGGGCCTAGGGTAACATTGGGAAGCATGTAATAATAGCCTGAACAGCCACCATCGCTAAGGGTAGGCAAGTATGCTTGGAATTTCTCGACTGAAGCCCAGTATGACTCGTTTGCCTTTCCATCCATGGTGATGTTTACCTGTGACACGATGGTAGGAGGGTCCTTGAAGGTCTGAAGAGTAACACTGGTGACGACGCCAAACGTTCCTCCTCCTCCACCTCTTAGAGCCCAAAACAGGTCGGAATTTTGATATTCATTTGCAGTCACGAATTTTGCCTAAATAGGTTGTCAGATACTTGTGTGGAATAAATGCAATACAGAATGGGTGGAAATGGCCGTGATTTATACTTACACCTGCAGTTACCACTTTGTACTCCAGTACATGATCGGTGGACATACCCTTCCATGGGCCCAGGGGTGAATGGCCACCACCCTGGATATACCCACCAGCTGCTCCAACTGTAGTTGACAGACCAATAACCTGTGTCAGTCCTCTCTTGCCGGCAGCCTCGTACAGCTCATTTAGTTGAACACCAGCACCGATTGTAACTGCTTGTCCTATGCCTCTACCATCCGGTTTCCCCTCTGGCACGAAGTTGTCGGTGAAGTTGATGCTCTTCATATTATGAGTCAATATCTGTAACGATTGTGGCCCAGTCGAGCGCCCGAGAAAGTCATGTCCCGTGTTCTTAATTACCAGCCGAAGGTTATATTTGCTGGCGAACCGGACTGTCTTCTGGATATCCAATGGGGACTGAACGACAGCAGAGTATAATGGTATTCTACCCTGACCACAGGGAACTTGTCGAGGCCCGTCGATATAGCATGACTCGTTCTTCTCCGGCCATGTCTCCCAGTTGATACTCTGTACCGCGCCTGACTGTGCGGATCGTCAGGAAGAGTCTGTCTGCATACCCTTCACACTGTCACAAAGGCCTCCGTTGTATGTTGGATCGTGGCAAACGGCTCCCACGGGCTTTACTGCGACTAAATTTCCTGATAGGGTCTTGTTGAGCGTCTGCCAGAGGCCTGGGGATGGCCAGCAAGACTGGTCAGGTGTGCATCGACATCGAGGTCCCTCTGGGGCCGCATATGTTGCCCCGAGGAACGACAATAAAGCCGTTAGGTATGCTGTACTTCTCATAGTATGCTGATGTGGTCGTGTGTAGGTATAGATCGCAGTTCCTTCGGTAAACAAAACAAAGACAAGCCACCTTCCACGTATTTCGACTCAGTATACACCAGGAAAAGAAGAGTTCTGCGGTATATGCCAACCCGGGGAAGGTAAACTTATATAGAAAACTATACAACCTCCCCCCACAGCCAGGCAGCCTGGGAGCTGGAGTTGATGTCGCTCCCGAAAAGACAAAAAAGTCTCTTTCTCACGGCCACGGCCCACCCGGCTCCAGGCTGCTTGTCGATTTGGCCGACATATAGTTATAGTTCAACCCTAATTCAATTCGCCTGCAATCAAGCGCAATCCTTGACTCAATCTGGGAGGGCAAAGTATAAGCCTTGGGGGGAGGATACGACTTCATTTCCCATCGGGCGCACCAGGAGACGCCCTGTTGAGCAGTGCTGCCAGGCAGCAGCTTTATTTGATCCCCTATTACTCCGTAATCCATAGATATTTCTGTAGTTTTCTCTTGGGGCGAAGCCCCCCATGGTGACGGGGCTTGCAATCCTGGAGTAGTAGAGGAGCTAAGTATATGCATCTCCAGATGGGGTAACCAGCGCGGACGATAGTCAGCCCCTCCATATCCATCATCTTGACTCCTATCCGGGCTCCAGCCGAAGCTAAGTTAGCCTGTCAGCGCCCGACTTGCTTTGGCCGGGAGCTCACGGGCTCGTATTCTTTTTGCTCAATTTCGGCATCAACTGCGCTGACATCAAAACATGTGAAGCACAGCCCGGATGACGGTTCCACAAGGAACTGGAGCGAAGTTCCGAGGTAGCCTGGCCAGTTGAGCCTATTGTCGAGTTGACCTCTTGATCTGGCAGAAGGGTCGTATTTCTTCGTAGCAGTGCCATTAATTCTGTCTTGGTGGCTCAGCTGGATTGCTGCTAGCTGTGTGCTGCCTGCTGCGATACTCTCAGCTCGTGTGTCTGGACGAGAAGCCAGCTGGCTTGGTTGAGACTGTGATGAAGGCTTCGACGATCAATCGTACCAGTGTTTCTGAGACAGGCGCCAGCCCTAGTTGACTAACTAGCTGCTGCAAAGGAGACCAGCTAGAATCTCTCTCGAAGGTGAAGAGTGGGAGATTATTAGTTCCTCTCTAGTGAGGTTGCCGTCGATGAGGCGATATCCGCCTGCGTCCGGGTAAATAGTTGGGCGGAGTGGCGACAGGGAGCGCGACCTAAAGGAAGCCTTTTTATTATCTTCAAGCCTTTTTCCCTGGGGGAATTAATATCAAAGTCGAGTGCTGACTTACGAACGGCCATGTATGAGCAGCGGCAGTTAACAATTGACATGGAAGCAAAAGGACGTTCTGACCTTTCATGATATCTATAAAACAGCTTTCGATCATGGAAATATCAAGTGATGCCCCGTCCATATACTCTCAACTTACAAAAAAAAATACATTTCTTTCGACAAATGAAAAAAGAGGTTTCCTGGGAGGACTAAATTAAAATGAACAGGAATCAAGGCTTGGGATACAAGGTGAGTTGGTTTCTTTAATCTACATATCTTCACACATCTATTGTTTTTCAAGCTCAGCCAGGATCTTCTCTCCCTTGGCGCGGGCAGACTCAATGTCTCCAACCATGTAGAAGGCGGCTGCACGGGAGTTTAGCATTTGTTCAATTACTAGGAAGGGGAAATAAAGGGGAGAGAAACGGGAAAACGTACCTTCTGGGAGATCATCACATTCACCGTTGATGATGGCCTTGAAGCTTCGGATGGTGTCCTTCAAGTCGACAAGGGCACCCTCGATACCAGTGAAGACCTGGGCAACGGTGAAGGGCTGGGAAAGGAAACGTTGCATTTTACGGGCACGCTCGACGGTGAGCTTGTCAGCTTCCGACAATTCGTCCATACCCAGAATAGCAATGATATCCTGGAGGGACTTGTACTCCTGCAACATCTGCTGGACACGGGTGGCGGTGTTGTAGTGGTCCTCACCGACGATACGGGGGTCAAGCATACGGGATTTGGAGTCAAGAGGGTCGACAGCTGGGTAGATACCCAACTCAGAAATACCACGGGACAAGACAGTGGTGGCGTCCAAATGGGCGAAGGTGGTGGCAGGAGCAGGATCAGTCAAATCGTCAGCAGGGACGTAGACGGCCTGGACGGAGGTAATGGATCCCTTCTTGGTGGTGGTAATACGTTCCTGCATACCACCCATGTCGACGGCAAGAGTGGGTTGGTAACCGACGGCAGATGGGATACGACCAAGCAGGGCAGACACTTCGGAACCAGCCTGAGTGAAACGGAAAATGTTGTCGATGAAGAGAAGCACTAGAATATACTTTGTTAGAACGTGAATTTCTTAAAGTTCTATTAGCCATAAGAGACTCACCGTCTTGACCCTCCTCATCACGGAAGTACTCAGCAATGGTCAAACCAGTAAGAGCAACACGGGCACGGGCACCTGGGGGCTCGTTCATCTGACCGAAGACCAGGGCGACCTTGGACTCGCCATCAAGCTGAATGACACGGGTCTCCTGCATTTCATGGTAGAGATCGTTTCCTTCACGGGTACGCTCTCCGACACCAGTGAAAACAGAGTAACCACCGTGAGCCTTGGCAATGTTGTTCTATACAAACAATTAATACACGAAATTGCTCAATTGTCCAATTTTCGCCTAATGTTGATTCTTGGGGTAGGGTTTCAAATGACTTACAATCAACTCCTGGATGAAGACAGTCTTACCGACACCGGCACCACCGAAGAGACCAATCTTACCACCACGGGCATATGGGGCAAGAAGATCGACGACCTTGATACCAGTGACGAGAACCTCAGCAGAGGTGGACTGCTCAACGAACTCGGGGGCTTCAGCGTGGATGGGGGCCATCTTGACACCCTTGATTGGGCCGCGCTCGTCAATTGGGTCACCAGTGACGTTCATGATACGTCCGAGGGTACCAGGGCCGACAGGAATTTGGATGGGAAGGCCGGTGTCAGTGACCTTGGCACCACGAACGAGACCTTCGGTACCTGTAGTGCAGAGGCATGTTAGCATTGAACGTCTTAGTTCCAACTCGGCTCCCAGATCGGGTTTGATGCCAAGCCTTTGAGAGAAATATCGACACGTACCGTCCATAGCAATTGTTCGCACGACTCTCTCACCCAAATGTTGCTAAAGCGTCCAGTTAGCGGCCAACAATGCCATAATTGAGATGGCCGCCGATGCGAGAAGATACTTACAGCGACCTCGAGGACCAGCTTCTGGCCGCCGTTGTCAGTCACCAAACCGTTGAGAATGGAGGGAAGGGTCTCGGTATCGAATTTCACTACACGATTTCATCAGTTCCATCATCGAAAACGAGCTAGGTCCATCGCCAATAGCATTGGGCTCGAGCTTTGATGCTCAATTGATGCCAATTGGCGTCCGGCCGAGATGGTGAAATTTCTTCTCGACCGTGTTTACGGGGCAAAAACGTACCGTCGACGACGGCACCGATGACCTGATGGATCTTGCCAATGTTGGCAGCATCCGTACTGGCATATCGGGCTGTGAGAGCTTGGAGAGCATTGTTCTTGAAGGTTGGGCGGACGGAAGAGAGGACGGAGGAGGTAGGTCGTGCAAATGCAGACCTTCCGAGGGTCCGGGAAATGCCGCTGCGGCGGGGAGAAAAGCGTCAGCAAGGGCTGTCTGGCCGATGAGGATGGTCTATCGAGGGCATTGAGCTAGTATCTTACCTCTTGAACATGGTGAGATGCGTGAAGAGTGGAGGGTGGATGGAGAGAGTTGAAGAGGTGAGGTTGGAAGCAAAAGGGAAGAAGAGCGAGAAAGCTGCTCGGGTGTGGTCGCTGTTTTCAGATACGGCTAGTGGTCACAGTACGTAATTACAGGGATAGATACCGCCAGGGTACTTCCGGATACGCCCCCGAGCACCGCCTTTTCGCAGTACCGCCACCCAGCGACCGGCGCGTAATTTTGCGTATTACGCAGACAGCCTCGTAAAAGGCCTTCCGTGCAGCCAAGTCTGTCCTTTTTGTGTGGTGGAAAAATTACACGCTCCGTCTGTTGCCGGTTCCACCTCGCGCCAAGGCATAGTTAGTGGCCAGGACTGCGATATCAAACAGGGCCAGGAGGAGATGGCGAGAGACATGCTCAGTTGTTTCTTGACTACTTGGATGTGATATTAAGTCTTCTCCTTGACGATGAGCTAGTTAACTGATGGGGTTTTTTAAAGAATAATACGAGAGGTGGGTGCAATCAGAAAGAAAATACGTTGGCTGGGCTACATCCGCTACAGGGTGTCTTCGAGGGCCAGGACCTATCACTGTTAGTATTTGGGGCCGTTTCATCCTGGATCAAAAGGGCTGAACTTGGAACTCACCAGGGCCGTTCTCGTGGGCAGATACAATTCTGTATAGTTTTTGCGCCCATTCCACTCCAGGTCTGTGGTGAAGAACCTTGTTCCTTTGGCGTTGCGGTCGAATCCTCCAAATTCGCTGTCGTCAGTGTCAATGACAATCCGGTAGGTTCCTGCCTGCTCTACTCCGACACGGTAGGCTGTAAAACTGTTGGTCGGATGGAAGTTGAACACCCAGAGCAATCCGGCGCGTTCAAATACCAAGACCTTGTCCTGTTCGTTCTTGAGACTGATGTAGGCCTGCGGTGATTGGAGCCACCCGTATTTCTCCTCGGTCAGCTGCATTTTTCTGTCGAACTCGTTCAAGAACTTATATCGCAGGAGATGGTCCTCAGTGAGATTCAGCTGCCTTCTGGCATACCAAAAGCTGTTATTGTTGCCTTGACGAGGGAAATCGAGCCATTCGGGGTGACCAAACTCATTGCCCTCGAAGTTGAGGTAACCTTCTCCTCCAAGTCCGTGTGTGACCAGGCGAATCATCTTATGTAGACTCATGCCACGCTCAATGAGAGGAGTTAGCTCCGTCAAGACAGACATGTTTGTGTACATCTCCTTGTCGCAAAGCCACATCATCAGCGTCTTGTCACCGACAAGCCTATCCATCATTATTAGCACTTCTCCTGCGAGAGAACAGTGGGAAAACGTCTTGGGATATACATACGCTTGATCATGGCTCTCGGCATATGCAATCGCTTTCTCGCCATGTCTACGGTTGGTGAGGGTGAATGCTATGTTTGCCATGTCCCACTCTTCATCCTTCTTCTCTTTGAGGAGCTTGATGTACATGTCAGGGACTGCCATGGCTAGACGATAGTCGAATCCTACGCCCCCTAGGGCCAAAGGTAGACACAATGCAGGCATTCCAGAAACATCTTCTGCAACTGTGATGCAGTTGGGGTATAGTTTATGCAGCATTTCATTTGCCAGAGCCAGATATGCAACACCTTCATCGTCAACAGACGAACCGAAGTATTCGTGATATCCACCGGAAAATCCACTATCCATATCAGCATATGCCATGCACTCCGCGAAAAAAAATAAAAGGTAGACACTTACGTTCCGATTCCATGATGAATGTACAGCATGCTTGTGACTCCATCGAAACGGAAGCCGTCAAAACGATATTCTTCCATCCAGAATCTCAGGTTACTGAGAAGGAATCTGAGCACCTCATGGTTTCCATAGTTGAAGAGACGACTATCCCATAGGTCATGGTTACCCTTCCCACCCGAATGGAAATAGAGATGGTCCGTTCCATCAAACATGTTAAGACCATCCAGCACGTTCTTGGATGCATGGCTGTGCACCACGTCAAGCAGAACCACGATACCCATGCTGTGAGCCGTGTCTATCAACTCCTTCAGGTCTTCTGGAATGCCATAGCGACTACTCGCTGCAAAGAAGTTGTTGACCTGGTACCCGAAGCTTGCATAGTATGCATGCTCCATAATCGCCATAAGCTGGATAGCATTGTATCCTAGGTATTTGATACGAGGAAGCATGACCTTAGTGAAATTCTTATATGTTGCAACCTCTGTCTTGGGTGATGATATTCCCACATGTGCCTCGTAGATACGAAGTGACCTTGGCTTTGGTGGGGCCGTGTGTTTGAACTGGTACTGCTCCTCCTTGGGTGGATGCCAGAATACGTTGTCATATACTGGAGAGACACTGAGATCCTGAGTTACTCTTTTGGTCCAAGCTGGTATCCTGTCAATTCGCTCCCCCGATGGTGTGGTCATGGTAATCTGATGCTTCTATTAGGACTTGCTTCTCTAGCCTTGAGCACTGGGCATGTCATAGGAGATCTTTTATCCTTACTTTGACCTTGCTGTTGTGCGGTATGGCAAGCTCTCCGTTCTTTGCAGGGAGGATGCCTTCCCACACTCCGAAGTCATTCTTCTTCAATGGCGTAGCAGTTGGATCCCATCTATCTTCATACATGTCAGTTTGATTGTATAACATGACATGTAGGAAAATAAGAATTAGCGGGCTAACATACTGAAATCACCAATGAGATGGGCCGTGGTCGCGTTTGGAGCCCACTCTCTGTAGGTGATGTCGCCGTTACTCGCAACATTGAAACCAAACTTCTCGTAGCCCTGTGCATGTATACTTAGCATCTACTCAATACTGACTGAAGAAAATAATATCCCCAGAGATAAATTGACATAAGGCACAAAAAAAAAAGCGCATACAGACCTTGCTGAACTTGTCCAGCCCGCCCTCTGTCTCATCAATCTTCCGGATCCAGTCGGTTGCCCGCTTGTATCTACTTCTCAGAGCGTCCTTGAACGGCTCGAGCCACGGATCCAAATCAACGACTCCTAGCAAGATGATTAAGTTGGTACCGTGTTGATCAAAACGTAGCGAAAAGTAAGCTCTCGCAACTGACCTGTGCCATCTGGAACTTTTGCTGCCATGGTTTGCGGCTGGGAAGTATACTGCGTGTATCTCTCTGATTTCATCCTAACGAAGGCAACTCTGGGCAGTGCTGATGCAGTTTAGCTAGTTGCCTACTGGAGAGCGGCGCGTTCAGAAACAGCTCGGAGGAGAGGAGAGGAGAGGAGAGAACTAAGGTAGTTAGTCAACCAGCAGAGCCAGCCGGGCCAACAAAGAGGGACAATAAATAGCTCCTCCGAGAGGTGCGTACGACGGCCAGAGACGAGATAACCAGTTGGCAACTGGCTAACCAGCCGGCCGGCTGCTCGAGAGTGGCGAGCAAGGGTTCAACTTCCTGCTGTTAAGGCAAACTCTGGTGCCTTTACTACCCGGTAGTCTTTGCTTTTCTCTCGTCCTCTGCATGTAGATAACTAGCTAAGGAGTTGGCGTTAGAGAAAGAGAGCAGTCTGGGGGAGGCGGCACGCTGGTTACACCCTCTTCCCCCCTTGCCCTGCCTTGATCCCTAGAACGTCATTGCTAAGCGGGAAATCTTGTTTTGCGATCTGATAGCCCAGTCCATATGCAAAGCGGCGTGCTATATAGCTAAGCTCCAACCACCCCGAGCTCCCTGCATACCAGCATCTATCATAGGCTAGCTACGGCGTTGGAATTGATGATTGGATGCCCGGCGGACTTATCTTTTCGTGAGCGATTTCTTTTTAGCTGGCGATGTTATGCAGGTCCGGGCCAGTTGCTACAGTTAATTAAATAGGGCGAAAAGAATATTGTATACAGCGCAGGATCGATTATAAAAAGCTGTCCAGCACCCACGGAGTTGTTTCTGGGATCTAGGCGAAGGGCGGATATCGTTGGCAACTAGCTAGTTAAGCAACTACTTAAGTTAGTTTTAGTAGAATCGTACGATTACTATTTATATCGCCCCTTTGCCATCCCCCAGCGAGTACATGCAAATTCTACGCGAAGTTTTTTGGGTCAAAGTAGAACAGGTACCGGTGTCTAGAACTCGATGTTAAATTCGTTGAAATGATAATGATACAGTGATGGAATCAAACTCAAGGGTGAGAGCCACAAGAGGGTTGAGATAATGAAAGGATAACACTTGCTTTATATATAGAACATGAGGTACAGACAGACGACGGAACAGCAAAGGAAACAGAGAGGATGCACGGTTTGGTGGAAGGGGAAATATCATCAGGAGAAGAAAAGCAGAGGTCCAGACCCTCCATCTTCTGACAGTGTGCAGCATCGATATATGCTAGGAGATAGAGACAATGCACTCCTCCCTTCCGACAGACCGAGAACAAGAAAGAGGGAAAAAGGGGAAAGATATGAAGGGAAAGGAGGGAAATGAAAAGACTATACAGTTGTTCGATTCCATTAATACAGTTTTAATTGTTTTTCTCTGATATTGCACAAGTTGAGTAGATCTGGAAGGCGAGGTCCGAGGATGTAGAAAAAAACCCCGGGGCACACTGACGAAAAAAATGGAAGAGAGGTCTTCATCTTTACCTTATAGAAGGCACTCTCTTTTCTTTTCCCCTTGCGGAAATTCGTATTATGTTATCGAATCTATTTGCCAGCTGGTGCGCTCTGTACGAAACCCTTTCCAGAGTACCCTTCACTGCTGATACCGGTGATGGGGTCGAGCTTCTCTTTCTGTTGTGGTGGATAGTATGTCAGTGTATGTTTGCAGGCCATTGATAGGATATATATAAATGTATTGACGTACCAGAGCGTATTCGTTGGTGGCTTCTTGCCATTCCTTGGTCATGGTCTTTGGTGGGCTGCCGGCGAAGAGACGGGTGACATAGAAAATACCAGCAGAGATAACGACGTACTTCATTAGCTGGACGAAGACCTTCACACCCTCGCCCTTGGGGGTCTCAGCACGGGGGCCATGGGGACCGAAGGCGATCCAGTAAGCTGTTCGAACAGGAAGTAGCAGATTAGTATACGATCATCAACATTGAAATACAGCAATTCATTCCCTTGGCGCAGTGCAATGGTATGATAAACCATCCGATAAGGGGGATAAGAGGGATAAAGACGGTGCCAGTTTCAGGTGTCCATATTCATCCCACAAAAAACCGACGCAGAATGATCCATTAGCGTTCAATGGCAATGAAAATATCACCTACCAGCTCGCTTCTCTTGTAGAGTCATCTCCTTCCAGTCAACCTTCATTCGATCTCTCAATTTCATCCACAATTCAGCCTGTTCTTGAGGAGGCATGGCTTCCCAGCGCTTCTCGATTCCAGCGAGGTGAGGGTTGGCAATGGCGTGTTCCGAGGCAGAGCGAATCTGCTGCTTGGAGGGAGACGCAAGCTGGCTGCTGACAGGCACACGGGCATTGAGGCAAGCAATTGGTGAGGCCTGATTGCTTCGTGCAACAAAATTCGAGCATGTAGTCGAGACGGAGCGGACGGCGCCTACGACGGCCCGTGGGGTGGCTCGGAAGGACATGGCGAGGTAATTGGAAGAAGACGGGGAGAGAGAGGAGAGAAGAGGCGTAGATGGAGTCTGATTCCTGGGGCCGAAGGAGAGAGCGAAAGACCTGAAATCAACGCTTTTGCAGGAGCGAAGAGTCGAAGTTGGGATGTTGTGAGGTTTGATGATTATGGCTGCGAAAGTTTCCGTGGTGCTGACTCAGCGTGGAAATTGCTATGTTCTGATTGGTCCCGGCCTCTGCGCCCAAACGGCGAGGATCAGACGATGCTTTTCGGCGCAGCGAAGGTGTATCAAAATCGGATGCCTAACAGCCTACAGCCATCGTGGTTTGTCCAAGCAGCATTCGTTGACTCAGAGATAGTATAGGTTACGTCTTACTCCCGCATGCGCCCCTCAGCACCTCACTGCTCGTTCTGGACAGGAAGATGACGGCCCCCTCCACGATACCAAAACACAAGCATCTACGAAAGTGTCTACGGGACCACTGGAGGAATGGGAAAGCAAAAACCTCCTACTTGGACTGGAGATCGAGGTCGAGAATCTCTATAAACAACCGAATATCTACACACACAAGACCTGGGTTCGTATAGGTATAAGGAAACGAATTCGTACCTGTTTGCTTGGTGTTCATATTTGCATTATTGATATGGTCAGAAGTGAAGGACGAAGAGGGCTTAGAAACATATCAGCCACCAGCACGCTGTATCATCACACAAGATATCAAAACACTGGCAAAATGCTATTTGTGTGACGGCGTCAGATGCCCCTTGCGTTTATTTTTTCACACGGGGTTTTCTGTATCTTTTTTCTTTGCATGCTATTCTACTTAGAAGTAGCGTTCTTGCCGCCAGCCTCGGCCAAAACATGGTTCCATTCGATTTCGGATGGGTCGTCAGCCTGAATGCTGACGTGTGGGTGGAGGGTCTCCTTTAGTGTCTGTCGGGTGGTGGCATAGATCATGGACCACTACAAGATATTATCGTTAGTTCTGACTTCTTGGTTTAATCTGTTCAGGGGGAATGAGAAGAAGCCCTTACCAGGACAGGAGTCTCAGCCGGAACCCAGGAGATGAAGACAATCTTCTGCCTGTTTAAGTACGTCAGTCGGGATAATGTCCAATAAAGTTGTCACTTGCAAAACGCAGCACAAAAGAGATGTGACATACCGCCATCCCTCGCCAGCCTCAAGCTGGAACTCAACATCGTATGCGGCGTATCTTGGGGCAGGGCGTCCCATTGAGTCCTTGCAGTTGGCTAGTTTTTCACGGAAAACCTCGTAGTCATCGTTGGTGGAGACTTCGTCGACCACAACCTCCTTCTTGTTGTCTGAGATCTTGAAGATGATGTACTTTGTCCTGCCAGCACCCTTTCCAAGCCGTAGCTTTTCGAATGCTTCAATACATTCGGGGTTTATGGTAACTCTGTTGTATATCTGTAGTTAGCAGGCGTGGCCCCGGTTCTTCCGCATAGCTCTGATGCATCAATTCCAGCGCCTTCTTCGATATATAATCTCGGGGTCCTTTCTTCTTGTGTACTGTGCGGTGCATGCAAGGCGGTTTAGAAGGGAGGGCGGGGAAACGTACCCTGATGCCATCTGTATAGAGCAAGGAGAGCGTTAGCAGCGATAACAGTATCTCACACTTGATGCAGGAGAGCCAACGTACCGACATGATTGCGCGTTTATATTGCAGGACCTGGAACTCCTTAAAATGTTTTTTTTTTTTTTTTTTTTTTTTTTAATATGTCTATGGATAGGTAAAGATCCGTATGTCAGTCTGATTGAGCGCACACAATAGTGAGTTGTCTTCGGAGCGGTAAGAAAGGGGGTGCGGGAGACGAGGAAGAACTAGCTGCTAACTAGGCGAATCTGGTGGCGAGGGGTCAAAATAACGCCAACCTACAGTTCGAGAGGGACGGCCGTCTAGGGAAGAGAGGGACGGAGGTGGATAGCACGTTAATTCGCAGCGACAGGGGGATATCGGTGGTTGGCAAGCTGGCGTGTTTTTGTGATGGAGGCAGCAGAATAGTAATGGCGGGGCTGAGGTGTTTCTTATTCTGCTTGTTGGTGGGGGGACAGCTGCTAGTATTACTACTACGACTACTAACCACTGCTGCTATTTAACCAACGACCAGGCACAACTGCCGCGATACGCCCATGCAAAAATAGAGAAAACCAAGTCAGCCTGGCAGCGATGGGCCAGCCTGTCGATTTTACAGTCACCTGGATACACGTAAGCGCCGGATAGGGTCCTGGTTGCTCGCGAGATGCAGGAGTAATGGTTATGCTGGAGCCTGTTGCGGTGTTTGTGCCCTGGTGTACCTCGCTGCGCATGGAACTTCGACATCAAGAATCAACAATCTGCCTTGGTCAACCTTGATACGGACTCGGTCTGCCTTGTTGTCTAGATGGCGGCGGACTACTATATGCGCTCGTGTCTGCCAAATCAATCGACTGTTGCAGCTATTGATCAGGATTGCGGCCTCAACTTCCTCATGGCGAGGTCTGCCTTTGGCCATGTATTGGAGGGTGAATATCCAGCTCATTCCACGAGACAATGTCCTATGAATGATTTCTGGAGTCAGAAATTTGACCGCAACAGATATTTCGGTTTGCAAGCGCTAGCTGAAGTGTTAGCGAGAGCTTGCTAGACAGAATTGAGCCAAACTGGACTGTCGTGCTCGAGTTTGGTCAATATTTGATACTCAGAATTCTTCAATTCGAGCCCAGTCAAAGCACTATCAACAGCTGAGCCAAAAGGGTGAGCCTACCACTGGGCATCAAAGAGGATAGTTGTTTTACTACGCTACCGCATGAATAAAATGGCACTGTGGAATGGCCCCAACAACGTGATCAATATCAATTGGATGGCTGTAGCGTCGTTGGAAGAGATGCCTAAGCGCAGATTCAAAGTTATTCTCATCGCAAATGACCCCGTGATGCTGTTCTAATCATATAGCCTAGTTCTACTTTCCAGACGTATAGGCGTGGGTTGATATTGATATCCATTATAGATAAATTAGGCGGAATTGTATATCCGAATAGGTTAGGTACGGTATACAAAGTTGAGGAAGGGTTCGACAAGCCCTTCACATGGCTGATGGAGATGCCTTCCGAAGGTGAGATACTAGCATCCACAATTTTACTTGAACAGCTTTTCTTTCTTTCTTTTTTATAGAGTGAATTTGGATTCATATATAAGTACATGGCCATGAAGACATCGGCTGGAACCTCACAAGTCCATGGTCCATAATGCCTGCTTCCGCCCTTGGTCTCTTCAACTACAGCCTTTTGTCTACCGTAAGGAAACAACAAACGCACAAAGTTGAAATGGCAAAGAAGACAAGAGTGGAGAGGTGCTAATCAGTCAGGTCGAGGTTGTATGAAATATGGTTATGGTACAGATCTCTGGAGCTGGGGGAGTATCACAACAGATTCGAGAGGGATGAGTGAGACGGAGTTGTCAGGAAAATTACATAGGTTTACAAAAGAACAAACAGTAAGAAAAAACGGGAAATGCATCACGCCAAATAAAACATTTTAAGACATGGAGGGAGAAAGTGAAGGAGGAAAAACATGGAAGCAGGTACGCATTAAACACGTTAATCTTTTTAGTACATACCGCCCATGCCACCCATGCCACCCATTCCAGGCATGCCACCTGGAGTAGGAGCAGACTTGGGCTCAGGGGCATCGACAATTGCGACCTCGGTGGTTCCAAGGAGCGAGGCAACACCACTGGCATCAACAAGGGCGGTTCGGACGACCTTGAGGGGATCAACGATACCGGAGGTAATCATGTCAACGTACTCGCCCTTGGAGCTGTCGAAGCCACGGTTAAAGTCACTGGCAAACTCATCGGTGAGCTTACCGACAACGACGCTTCCCTCGAGACCGGCGTTCTCGACGATGGTGCGAGCTGGGCGGGTGATGGCGCTCTTCACAATGCTGACACCGAGCTGCTGGTCAAAGTTGGATGGCTTGACACCAGCAAGGCCATTGGCAGAGGCCTTGAGGAGGGCGGTACCACCACCGGGGAGGATACCCTCCTCCACAGCGGCACGGGTAGCGTTGAGGGCGTCAACAACACGGTCCTTCTTCTCACCGACCTCGACTTCAGAGGCACCGCCAACCTTGATGACGGCAACACCACCGGAGAGCTTGGCCAAACGCTCCTGGAGCTTCTCCTTCTCGTAGTCAGAGGTGGCAGGGTCAGCAATAACACCACGGATCTGTTCACAGCGCTGAGCAATAGCATCCTTGCTGCCCTCGCCATTGAGGATGATGGTGTCCTCCTTGGTGATGGTGATGGAGCCGGTGGATCCGAGCATGTCGGGAGTAGCCTTGTCGAGCTTCATGTCGAGCTCATCAGTGAAGACGGTGGCGTTGGTGAGAATTCCGATATCGCCGAGGATGCTCTTGCGGTTGTCTCCGAACCCAGGAGCCTTGACAGCAGCAACCTGGAGCTGGCCACGGAGCTTGTTAAGGATACAGACGGCAAGAGCCTCACCATCGATATCCTCAGCAATGATGACCAATGGTCGGCGAAGAGTGGTAGAAGCCTCGAGGGCTGGGAGGATGTCTTGGACGGCAGAGATCTTCTTCTCAGAAAGAAGGATAAGAGGCTTCTCGAACTCAACCTTCTGGGTCTTGGGGTCGGTGATGAAGTATGGGGAGGTGTAACCACGGTCGAAACGCATACCCTCGGTAACCTCGAGCTCGTCATCGATGGTCTTTCCATCCTTCACAGTGATGACACCTTCCTTTCCAACCTTCTCCATGGCATTGGAGATAAGCTTGCCAACGTGGGTATCTCCATTGGCGGAGATAGTAGCAACCTGGGCAATCTCCTCGGTAGTGGTGATGTCTCTCTTGTTGGCCTGTAGGTACTCGACAACAGACTGGACAGCGGCCTGGATACCCCTTCGAAGATCCATTGGGTTGCAACCAGCGGCAACATTCTTGACGGTCTCGGAGAAGATGGCACGGGCAAGGACGGTGGCAGTGGTAGTTCCGTCACCGGCAACCTCGTTGGTCTTGGAAGCGACATCCTGGAGAAGACGAGCTCCCAAGTTCTCGAACTTATCTTCCAGAGCAACGGCCTTAGCAACGGTGACACCATCTAAGAGTTCATTCAAGTTAGCAAACACTGAAACAAAGCTAGACAAACAAGATTCAAGGACTGTAAACATACCCTTTGTGATCTTTGGGGAACCATAGGGGGATTCTATTAGAACATTTCGTCCCTTGGGGCCCAATGTAGCGGTGACGGCTCTAGCGAGGGTGTCAACACCCTTGAGGAGAGAGGCGCGGCCTTCGACACCAAATTTAATCTCCTATATCAGACGAAGAGCTTCTGTTAGCCCATGTCCAAACACGGAGGGAAAAAGAGCTCCAATTGAGGTCATTTTTGGGCAAAAAAAACAATAAATCTCATACCTTATGGGCATATCGCTGCTGCTGAAGACTTACGCCGGCAGCAAGAGCTGGTCGGAACTGGGAGAGCTGGGTTCTGGTAGAAGCAGCAGAGGCAAGGACCGAGGCCCTGGAGGAAGCAGAGAGAGCTCGCTGCATGGTTGAATGATATTATTATAAAGAGGGGAGCAAAAGAGATGCAGAATTAGCCCACTGAGAACCAAAAAAAAAAAAAACTCCTAATTAAAGAAGGGTATAGAAGACAAGAGGGATTGAAGCCGTGTCAGACGTTGAAGAGCAAAGGAGGAAAAAAAAAGGCGTTGATGAAGAAGTCGAAGAAAAAAAAATTGATGTTTCGAGCAACTTCTGGAGAAAGTCTTGGCGGCCTTTCTTTTTTGCTAGCGGGTCACGTGAAAGGTACTGGCCCAGCTTGTTTCCCCTTTTGGGTCATCCAACGACGTCCGATAGAAAATACGAGGAAGACGGCCAAAGACGCACACGAGCGAGCAAGCCCATCTTGACCAGGCTATGGCAAGTGCATGGCGGTGCTATAGCTAGTTATTGCTTGCTTCAAAGGCGAGACTGCACAGGAAATACCCCCCATTAGCGCCAGGAGTCTTCGCTTTTTATACAGGTGCTACTCGGTATTCTACCGAAGTGACGGCCGGTTGGAAACGACTCCATGTGTATATCATCAATCATTGCTAGGAAGATATGTACATTGCTGCAGTCTGCCACCAGACCTAATGGCAGAAAGTGGTACCTTCCTTGACCAGCCAACGCCTAACCTAGTGTCCAGATACGCGAACTGGAAGCTGACCAAAACCGACCCGTATGAGCCAGGTAAGAGAAGCAAATGACAATGAAATGAAAACAGAATAAACGAAAATAAAGGAGAGACAAGATTTATCTGAACTAACTAACCAGCAGCTTAGGGTTAAGCCGCTGGTCTCCACATATGTGGGAACTGTCAATGTGATGTGGTAACTGAGCTCTATGTGAACTTTTCAGGATATGAATGCGCATCTGAGGTCAAGATGGCAGCTAGATACCCGAGTAACCAATGCTTGAATGAATATTAAAGCAATTCAAAGCTGATGGATGAACTCGTTGAAGCTCTGTTCGATTTCTGCCTCTCGGGCAGAACGCAACGCCCAGTTCATGCTGTGGTCCAATACCCCGGCTTGCATCAAGCCGTCATCTTCCGTCATGGAGCTAGCCAAAGAGGTGTTGGAGCTGGTGAAGCTGATTGGGGCGGTGTTCAACGGGGCTGAGTGCATCGGAGCAAAAGGACGGTGAGTACCATGCTGCAAATGACCTTGGGTGGAAGGAAATTGAAAACCTTGAGTGAAAGCTCCGTTCGGATTCGCAGCACCATGAACGAAGTCAAACTCATTCATGGTAAATTGCTGAGGAGCTCCGAAATGGTTACCTCCGGCCTGAGTTACTGGCCAGTTGCGGTGAGTTGGAAGGGCTTGCAATTCACGGCGAGGAACGTATGCATGTGGAACAGCCTGACTGATACCCATGGGGAACCCCTGCTGGTTACCAACCCCAGTAACGTTTGCAAATGACATGGCTTGAGCCTCATTTCCCTGAATTGGATGAGCTTCGTTGCCAAGGAGGTACTGCAAAGTTTCGATGCCACCGCTTGAGGCTTGAACTGGACTGGTCACATTCTCATCATGGATGGCCTCTTGGGCGATGACAGTCTCGCTATGGCTAGATGGTTCGTCGTTAGGAGGAGTGAGAAGACCATGGGAATGCTGGTACTCGAAGTTGGCAAAGTCCTCGCCGCCACCAACGAAATTTTGGTCAGCGCTGTCGGTGGGGGATTCGATCTCCTGGAGCTCTGAGATGACACCGATATCCTCGGCTTCTTCCTCAACTTTAATAGGAACAGACTCGACCTCGTCGTTATTCTTGTTTGAGGGCCCCTTACCCTTTTTGGCCTTGGACTTTTTGTTGTTGGGCTCCTTGCCTTCATCATAAGTTTCGTCGTCAGAGTCATAAATGGACCGCTTTGGTCCTTTTTTGCGAGAGTTGGCTTTTCGAGCCGCAGCAGGCTTAGGCACTGGGGTGTCTCCCTCTTCAGCCTCAGCAGACTTTGGTGCCGAGCCAGCCGAACGACGAAGTGGTGGTGGAACATCCTGGCCCAGTTCAACCATACGGACACGCAACTTCGCCAGGTGCTGGATAATCGCACCGTCGGTAATGTTGCTTCCCATCATGAGTGCAACCTCAATCCAAGGAATACGGACTCCACACTTGTTGCAAGCGGACTGGATTGAAAGAAGTAACTTTCTGTCCAGTTCATCTGGTGAATGTTAGCATGAGTCTACTTTCATCTCACATCCTGGCCTATTATCTGGGGAAATATCTTTATACATACCACACCAACGAACGATGGATCGAGAGGGAGGTCGGTTCAAGGGCTTCTTGGGCTTCTTGGTCGCTTTGGGGGAAGCAGCTACTACGTCTCCTTTCTTGATCGCCATGGTTCCTTGGATCAACTTCTATGAGGTAGCAATCGTGGTTAGCAATCTATTCACTGGGGCAGTGGCCTGGGACGAAACGGTTTCGAGTTTGCTGGAATATCAGGTGGAATATGAACTCGAAGTGAGGCCTTCTTTGTGGAGGTACATTAACTGCTTACTGTGTCTTCCAAAGAGTGATTCCCAGGCTATTCAATAGGTTCTCAACGAGTGTTAGGTGATGAGAGCCTCTGATAGCAAGATGCCACGCAGCAGTTGATGACCTCTCTGCTTGGTAGAGGAGGTGGTAGGGTTGTTGGTGATAGGTGAGGTAGAGAGGAAATGGAGAAGAAGAAGAAGAAGAAAGAAAGGAAGTAAAGGAAAAGAAAAGGAGGGGGGCGGACGTGGAAGAAAAGAGTGAGGTTAGCAGGAGGGGGGGTGTCCTCGGTACCTGGTGCTTGGTTGGCGGTTGCGTGATAAGTTGACAGGACTGATGTCGAGGAAACAATAGACAGGAACATGGGGGATCTGATATCAATCAAGCGAGGGGGGTCTCAAGACCCATCCAGTCCCCTGGCTTGCGCTCAGCAGATCGATAGCCACTCCCGAGAGTCTGGTAGCCGGGGTCTAGTTGGTTTTTGAACAGGTATTGATGTCTTTATGTTGCTAGTCAACGCGGGGAGTGGCGTCAGATTCGCAGCCCTTGTTTTTTTTTCGAGGCGTCGACTGCAGCAAGTCGTCGTCTCCATGCACGACGCTTCCAGTTCACCGGATAACCCACGAAATCATCTTGACTTCTCTTCACCGGACCAGTGCAACCCTCAATGATATCACAAGCTATTACTCAAGAGATACTCGTCTGCTGCTATCATTTTACTCTCTCACTACTTTTATCAGGAGTACAACGAGCTGGTTTACTATACGTTTTAAATGCAAGACCTGGGTATCTCCCTCCCCTTGAATACATCTTCTAGTAGTTCTGCTTATAATGTGTGACCAATCTTAGTGAAAGTATATGCGGCTGACGGTTCCTCACCGCTCATATAGAACGAGGATCGGCCTATTGAGGAGCTACGAAAAAGAAATATTACCCCAAGGCCGTGGACTAGGCGCGGGACGGCTGACTCCTGCATTTTATACCACTCTGCTGGGCCCTTTTGCATGCAGACGCCTCGTTGGATGGTCAGGCCTCCGCCCGAGTGTGCTTTACTGTCACACTTGATAGCTCAAGGGAAGGGCCCTCCCTCAATACTTTTCTAGGAACAGGCTTCACAGTCTACAGAGCAGAGATGCTCTCTGATTTAGAAAGATCCGGCCATCCGGTTAGACTTAAACAAAAGAAGGTTGTCTATCTGGCTCCGCCTTTTTTGAGCCTTATATTAAAGAAGGTTCAAGCGTTGCGCGAGAAGGCATTCCGGAACATAGAGTCTAAAGTGACTGCTTGTCCGGAATCTGATAAGGTGGCTAAAGATAAATAGGATCTCACTTCTGCGCTCTATCTACTTATTTAATATATATGTGAGGGCTGTAACTTCTCTTCTATGATAGTTTAAATATAGCCTGTGCCTTATAATTAATTGTAGTCTAGCCTACTAAATAACAAAGGCTCACCAGAATATAATATTTATGTGATTCCATATCCACATCATATTTTAATTGCTTTCACCCAGTAGTAAAATAGATGAAATTGTTCATTGATTCACTAGCATTCTTTTGGCTATATCTTATTCCGGGAATAGATTGAGGCAGGGATAGACAACTATTGGTACTCTAAGTAGATAAGGATAAAAACTTGAGATGAGCAATCTAACTGGTTCCTATGCACTCGACTATACATGGGTATGCAGATTTAGCCAGTACAAATAGGGATACCAGTTGGATGGTTCCCTCCCACTTCCATGGCTTGTCTAGTTTGCGAACCGGGCTATGATGCTACTGACTTTTAAATCAAACCAGCTTCTGCCTTTCTTTCTTCTACAGTAGCTGTATCTATCCATGTAGTGGTGCAACTGCTGTTCCATACTGCTTCAAGGCTGACAGACCATCGCTATGCCTCGACTTGCAGAGATGTGGCTGTATTTTGGTGAAGTCGCATTTGTTCTTATTTAGTTGCCTCACGTAAAATCAAGGAGGTTCGTGTCAACCTGGAATCCTCATATTAGCCACGTTCCGATCGACTCGCATGTCGTGGTCGACATAAACAGTGCCGTCAAGTCAAGCCCAAATTTGGTGTTTTTTTTTTTTTTTTATGTTGGAGAGCCGGTTGTGCATCACGTGACGCATCCCCGTCGGACAAACTTGGACGCTTCAGCGACAGCGAAACGTCGAACGCAACAACCACTTCCAAGCAGCCGAAGAGAAGAACGTCCAACAGCACACCTATCACCATGACCTTCGCGTGGAAAGCCGCCGGTTTGACGTATGTACCTGTTCCGCACCCCATTTCCCGCTTGTTCTGCTTCAATTGCTGACCTTGGTGGCCTCATTCAGCTACAACCGTTACCTGTCGGTCGCTGCTCAGGCAGTCCGTCGTTCTCTCAAGCCGGAGATCCGTGTCAAGGTCGAGGCTCAGACTCCATCTGAGCTCAAGGTCGCCCCATGGAAGGTCAGTACACGGTGGTCTCGTCTATGCCGATTGATTATGGGGGATCGCTGGGTTTTTTTCTTGGACCCGACTGACCCGCAACTTTTGAATTGATACAGAACGGAAAGCAAGGCGACGCTGTTGACCTTGGCTCTCAGTTGAACCAGAGCGCTAACCAGGCCTCCAAATAAACGAGTTGATTCCTTGACGGAGGATGGATTAGTTGGGCCGAGTGTGCGATGTGCGATGCGTTGAAGGGGAAGACATACCATCGGAAGTCTGTACAATACGAGGTGATAGATTGCAGACGGAGAAATAAATATATTTTGTATCAATCCAATAGAAGAATTCAAACTGTTCTATACTCTTTTACCGATTCAATTGCTAGGTGTTGTCGAGAACAGTTGAGCCTGTATGCCGAAGCGCTGTGCCTTGACTCAGCATGAGATCCTTAAATTTTAAACTCATCTCAAAAGAGTATCACCACCTGGTGAAGTTGTGGTTTTACCTTCCAGCTTCTGGCTTGTTTCCGGGTGCTAGCTTGACTGTTGACGCAGCGATACTACCTGCAGCCGACTGTTTCTAGTGTTTTTGTCATGCTGTTATGCTGTTCGCCCTGCGACGTGCCTGATTTCCCTCCTGGCTCAGGCGTCAATCCTCAATCACCGCGATTTTTGTGGCCTCTCAGCCCCGCCACCTAAAGAGATAATTTGCTGCCACCACGAGATAATATAGCTGGATCAGGATGGCTTGCGATATCACGGAAAAATTTACAAAGGCGGCGTCAGGTCTGTCTTTTCCCAAAAATGCCCTGTTTCTCGTTGTAGTTGTAGTGGAAACATAGCTAACAATGCTTGGGATTCCCAGTGCTCGTCACCGGCGAACTTGTCAAAGATGAATACTTTACTTTATTTGAGGCCGTGGGAGCCCTGGAGGTCAGAGACATACCCCGACGCACTCTGTTTACTTCATGCCTCGTGCAGTGTGATCGGACAAATGAGTTACTGACAAAAATTGCTGCGGTGTAGATCATGGATTCAAAAATGGATAGCGGCTATCTTGCTCCCGGAGAGACACTGGACCATAATTATGATGTGATGAAGAAACTACTTCCGGAAGAGGTTATTGGGATAATGGACCAGCTACTATGCTATGAGGTACGTCTTATTCACCGCGAGTCTCTTTGCCCTTTTCCTATCAATTTTGAAACATGAGCCTATTATCTGACTTCTCTATACTATACAGGTAGCCTGGCACATGGGACATCCACTTTCGCAAACACTCTTTACATCGATATACCTTGACCACTTACTTTGGCCGGTCCCTAAATCACTGGAGGATGCGAGGTTCGATGGCAACAAAGCTAGTCCAAAGAAAACGGAAGAAAATGTAGCAGGTGGTATTGTGACCATTGTGTTGAGAGCTTACTGCCTTGCTTTAATTAAAGCTTGCGCATGTATTCGAGAAAGAGTTGCATCGGAGTTTTATTATGAGGTTTGAATTACTCATCCATACACAATGTAACCGCAGTACTGACCAAAATAGGAGGAAGATTTTAGCACTCAACTATACAACAGAAAGCTGCTCTCCAATGTCAAAGTCGAGGAGATTATAGTAGTCCTTGACGATGCTATTAGGTGGCTCAAGCATGATGCGGAATCAATCGACGAACCTCTTAGGGCTGCCCTTCTTAATAGGCTTTCCTTCCGACGTCACATCCTAGAGTATCTGTCTCTAGACCTTGTTCTGGCACAGTCACGGTCTACAAAGAGCCTAGCTTCCACACTGGACCGTATAGACCTCATACAAAAGTCATTACATCTAGGAAAACCTGTTGAAGATGCCTTTAGTGGCAAGATTCAACGACGTCTCGCAAGCACTGTCCCTCCTCGTCCAATAATCAAGATTGAACTGCAAGATGCTATATCATACTTGAAAAGATTCTGTCAGGACGCTACTGATTTACAGGAAATACTAGATTCTGACAGTGCATTCACCCTCTATGTAGGTTTTTTTTTTGCATCATTGCAGTATTAGTACCCGTCCCTGCTAGGCCATTAATACTGACAATTGAACAGAATTTACTATGGACTTTGCAATCCCGCAAACCACAGCCAAGTGTTTATATCCGATCTTTAGCGCAATCCATAATACTCCTAAATGGGCGGATTCTTGATAAGTTACCTGCTGAAGAGTTCTGCAACAACAGCATGAAAGACCTTGTGCTTCCATTTAGTCCGCTAATTGACCCAAAAAACAAGGAGGTAGAAGCTCCTTCAAACCCCAAGTTTCATATAGCGAAACAGATGGAGACATTTTTACAAGGAATGACTCAGGTAATGTTGATATTACATCATAGATATTACATATCTTTATAGTGCTCCTACTAATCTCTAAAAGCCCTTCATTGACTCCTACCGAACAATTTGCCTGAACCGCTGCCGAGTACGGCGTACACTTTGTCATAACATTGTTGATTGGGATAGACTACAAGCTGAGGTGAGATATATTTATTCTGATAGTCTGTGGAGAACCTACTAACATATCTTTCAACTATAAGGCTGAGGAATGCGATGCTCAGCTTCGCACGTGGACCCTCGAAACTCCCATATATTTACACGGAGAGGAACCAACCTATACCTACCCCTTAAGCAGTTGGACGTATCACTATAAACTCCAACAAATGCGCCTAGTGGCTCAACTAGGATTCGAACTCTCAATGTACTCACTGGGGGAGTTTCAAGGCATGTATTGGTACTTATCACACTTATGCTCAACTCACCTCGTACATCTTGATCGTATACGGGCTTGTGTCATCACGGAGAGCCAGAAGGAAATGTCTAAGATTGGTGAACAATCACGGCAGGACATCGAAACTCGGATAAAATCGCGTGAGCGTACTCTCGACCTCCTCGACAGATTATCTACGGAACTCGGTGTTACGGATGCGTTTTCCATAGCATTGAATGCTCTATATACCATTCTCTCACGTCATGGTCTGATAGACCAAGACTGTTCCTCATCACCTGGTTATTCCGCTGCAAAGCTTCGTTATGAACTTCGAATGAAACCATTTCTGCCAATTTCCTTGCCCGAGGTAGTACCTTTTGAAATCTACGAACGTGAAGCCACACTTGATGGCCAGAGTGATAAGGCGGTTCTAAACAGAGCCGTTCGTGCCGCAGCTGAGGCAAAGAAGGGCCTAGAAAGATATCTGGCTGATGGCCCTTACCTTGTACCCAAGAATAAGTCGTCAAAGACAACATCCGGTCTCGAGAGTGATTGGATAAAAAACGCAAAGAATATGCTTCGAGCCTGTATTGCAACAAGCATAGCAATTGACACTGTCAAAAAGGCTACACTGGACAAGCAACCATCTAAACCTCTAAATATCTCTGTTCAGGTACCCGAGGTTGGATCACAATCTCGATGGCATGAGTGGTGGGCCGTTCCGCAGGTATCGGAAGCCCTACCAATTATAGGCCCGAAGGGGTGTACAAATTGAGCCTCGGACTTTGGCTATAGAATTTATCATTTTTCCCTGAATCTTCATTTGGCTCTTGGTATAAAAGCTGGTGAGGACATGGACAAAACAACTCATAAGCTACAGGAATAGGTATGGTTAACTGTTGAGCAGTGCAATGGGATGGGTGGTTATCTAGCTCTTGTAGAATAGGATCTATATCAGCGAATATATCTTTGTTATCTATTTTGCTGTTTTCAGGCTGCTGGACTAATGGATTTTACGATAGTATTGTTTGCCCATTGCTAAGCAGATCCTCATGATAAAAAGAAAATTCCTTGATATCCCTATGCCTCATTGACCAAGATTATCCTAGCCCTAAGTATTCCTCAACTTCTACGCCTATCCCATGGGCCATCTCAACAACCCATTCATCACTGATAGAATTTCCTGCACTAACCATTGCATTGATATTGAGGCACCATTTTTCAGCTCCATCCACAACTCCTCCGGCTGCCGCTGTTCCTGCAGAAGCAGGAATGAGGAGACGGAGGCGCTGTAGCGTTGCAAGTTCTGGGTATATTGTATCTGCCAGAGATATATCTGTGATTAATGGGGGATTTGGATCTATAGCACGATAAACAGCTAACAGCCGCTCAAGTGTAAATGAGTGAGGATTAACAAAGTAACTGCTTCGACCACCACGCGTTCCTCCAGGAATAGATGGGGTGTTGGTTGCTCCTTTAGGAGCCTTGGACTGGTTTGCGGCTTTCCCACCCTTTTTCGGAGTGTCATCTGTTGGATCATCGTCTGCTTTAGTAGATGCTTTTGGTTGGATAGTTGTATTTAACCTCCTTCGACGACGCTTGACCGATGGTGTGAACTTTGAGAAAAGAGATAAATCAAGGCGAGGGGGAATATGAGCCGCGAGAAAGGCAGCTGTCAGCACAAGGGTTGGTAGATACGGAAGAGACGGTAAAGCGGGAGCGGTCTTTGTTATCAAATTCGGAGTAGTTGACGTAGTGGTGTAATCCTCGGAAACAATTCTATGACTTAACAGCAGCTCTCCCTGATGTTGATATAACGATCTGTTCTTCACAAGGAGTCGTGGGAAGTCCCATTCTACCGCAGTCCCTCCAGGTGGTGTCTCATCGTTGGTTATAGGTGCAACAAACCGTGGCCATATTTTCTCGCACGCTGACTGGAAAGTAGATATTGTACCCCCCGTTGGGCCAATCAATGAATCATACAACGTGGATAAGAATGGAGGGTATAGCTTGGCAGCGGTAGCTTCGGATAGCTGAGGCAGAACAGGTGGAGGTAAATTAGCTAAAATAGCTATGCTTTCTGCTCGTGTGTATGGAGGGAAGTAGACATGGGGTGTGCCGGCTGCATGAAGGAGAAGTGGACGAGGGGAAAATTTTGAAGTAAAAACCACTGAGGTATTAGGCAGCTAAAGGAATTAGAACAACTGTCGTTAGCTCATGTCAGGCCATTATTTAGTAGGGTGGCTTCAGAAGATAAGGCAAATCGACATACCATCTGACCAATTTGGCACAATGCCGCCAACAGCATCTGTCCTCCTTCCCGCAACTCATCTATTCCGTCTAACAAAAGAATAAATTTTCGACACTCGGATTTGCCTAGAATAGTCCCAAGTAGCCCTGATAGTGAGCTTACATGCTCACAACGTAAACCGCCAATATTTAGCCGTTCATCACCTGGTCTTCCAGTGATGCCTTGCTGCATAGCATCAAGGGTGTTCAATATAATCTTCATAAAGAGATGGTTTGCTGATATACATTCGGTAACATTCACTACTGCATAGCAAAACCGGTGTCCTTTCACTTCATTGCCGGGGGTGTGGCCCAATCTTTGCCTTTTAGCTCCGGATATCGCTCTAGGGCTACCGTTCTCTTTTGCATGCCTTTGACTTTCAGCATACACTTGTAGTAAGGATTTGAGAATTGTTGATTTTCCAGAGCCCTTGGGGCCATGGACTATTACGGCCGGAGGGGAGGAGAAGGGTGTCTATTTGAAATAAAAGAAATAGTATAAATCGGTTAGCATAATGATAAGTATTGAAAGGGTACCCTAGCTCTCTGATTTTACGAACACATAGCAGATGGGCCAACTGCCTCGCCTGCTGTTCTCTGCAAGGCCACTGTCGAGACACAGAGACCACTAGGTCGCTAGGCAACATTGGCAAAAAAAGCCACCTCAGCAAAACGGTCGCAGAAATAAAAGGGGGAACTTGGTAGATTAATTCAATCATCATCAGATTTCGCGTCCTTGACGATGTTGCTGAGCTTGGCGCGTTATATTGAACTTAAATTAAGTTTGGATTAAACGCGCGTCTCCAATTTAAGGTTAATTATTCAAACTCTGAACGATATCAGCCTCTTAAAAAGCGTACCATGCCTCTGCATACGCAAGGCAAGGTTTAATCATAACCACCTTGATACGATAACAATATTGGTACAAAGTGGCCGCTAAGCTTAAGCATCATGCATGACATGGAAATAAACCAAACGGTGGTAGTCTTTGATTTGTACTTGCGAAACTAACTAACTTGCAAAACTGTATGGAAACAAATTTTAACTTGCAAAGTGAAGAAATAACTCAAGGTGGGCTTACAATGGGGAAGTATGTGTGGGAAGCTAGGTCTGGGTTCAAGGGTTAAAAAAACAACATCTTGGTAACATTGAGCATCGATAAGTCGGGGCTCATATAGATACATGAATGCAGAACAATGCAGAACACAACTGATGGTACATAATTTGCTTGCATGGGCATATCAGGGAAGGATTGTAGGGTCATAAAAGGGCGGAATATGAAAGGTGATCGAAGAGGCCATGTGGAGTTGAATGCAGCAGATATCCTTGTGCCATTAACCTTTGATGAATGAGACCAGCGTGGTTAGGACTGGCTAGATTCGAGGAGGTATCAGGGGCCACATTTGGTATTGAACTTGAGTCAACAATATGTAATAGCAAGAGTATGCAAAGCCCTTAGAAAGAAAATTGAAATGTGAAAACAAGGGTTAAAAACAAGTAAAACACAAAGTAGAATAAATATGGACTGAGCTCCTCAGAAGAGTGAGAGAGCTGTGAAACCGACGACATTCTCACCATGTTTAAAACACCTGCGCGTGGTATGGCTTTTAGAGATAAGCCAAGACCTAGAATGTAGATCATTGCCGTGGTTAGAGCTGTCGTGAAGGGTTAAATTTCTAGAAGAAGGAAAAGTGTAAACACAGTAAGGAGAAGAATAGACAAAGGGAAGAAGGAAATAGGGAAGAATGTTTAAGAAAGCCAAATAAAACAAGAAATCCCGCAAAAATAGGGAATGCAAAGAAGAGAGGGAAAGAGGTATGTTGAGGTGGGCGGAAAGTATGTAGAAGCCATATTTATGCGTTGGCATTATGGCAAAAAGGTGGACATAAGAAGTAAAGTGATATGATCCATATCTCCCACTTAGAAGACTGAATATGCCAAGCTGATTGTGACAATACCAGGCAGATGCAAGTTCGATAGCCCAAGATGATCCAGAGGACTGGAGAATGGATATGTATCAAAATCATAATATGGAAGAAAAATGGCATCATCAAAGATTCCAAGAAGATGCTTCTTAACGGTATGCAGTCGAAAGGTAGAGAAAGCACTTTGTGTGTATCTGGTGTTTCAAGTCTTGTCGATAATGCTGTCCTTGTCGCGGTAAGAATTTATATTCTTTAAAATCAGAGCCGTAAAATCGTGAGTCGTGGCATCGTATCTTGCTGGTGTTACAGGGTTGAGAAATGAAAACATTGCGCAGTCATGGCATTGAACTTCCACGCAACGAGGTATTGATACAATTTGGCTTTCTTCCGAGTTAGAACATGTTGAAGCCATGAGCGTTCGAGCCATTGACGCCACTAATGCCGTTCATATTGTTGATACCATTGATGGCGTTGTTGGTGTGCTGTGGAACAGGGCTGAAAATGGTAGTAGCTCCACTCTCGCTGTGAGTAGAGCGAGCTTCAACAAATTCAGACTCGGAGACGGCTGCGGATGGAGCGTTGGTGGAGGCCTCGGTGGAGTTGAACTGTGAGTTGTATTGACTGGGAGGAAGAGTATAAGGCTGCGAGAAGCCGCCTCGTACCTCATCAAGAGCCAAAGGAGCTCCCGGGTTCGTTCCGTTTGTGCCATTGTTTCGAGCGTGGGAGTCAAGAGTCATGATCTTCCCTGCAATTCGACGTCCATGTGGTTGCGAGCGGATTCCAGGAAGCAAGGGGCGGACGGCTTCAATCAGGGTATTGCGAGACTCGGGATCAGCAAAGTCCATGGCTGTCTGGATAACATAGTTTGCAAAGGAGTCACGGAGCATGTTTGGAAGCTCATGAGGAGACAACATCTCCTTAATGAAAGCTCTGCGCATATTGAAGTCTGAAGTACGAATGCACTTCTCGATGACGTTGGAGCTGAATTTTTGCTTTGAGAGAGCGGGGATGCTTCCCTGGAAAGTTGCGCAAAGTGGTCCAGTGAAAAGAGGCTCTCCAAGATCCACTGTATTAAAGTTAGAATGATAAAGCATGGCAGGGTACGGGTGTCAACATACAGATATACTGAATGACGTAGTTGCCGAATGGGTCTTGAACGAGGGAGTAAGAGCTCTTGGTAATCTGCTCAATCAACTTTGCGCGCTGATCGCCAGAGGCATGGTCAATGCATCTCTGAAGAACACAGCAGCCATGGCGGTGAGTTCCAACGGCAACACACTCTTTGCCAACTGCATCATAAATAAACTGTGTATATATAAAATGAGCAAATACTCAAGGGGGTGTTTTTCAAAAGGAGAAGTAGGTACCTGGGCATCTGGAGCTGATAGGCGGTTCAAGCATTTCTGGATCACATGGTTGCCATTGAGGTCTTGAACAAGCTCGACGACTTGGCCACTAAGGGCATGGATAACAGTTTGGATCTAGAGATGATTAGTAATCAACCATGACATGTCAATAAGGTGTCGTACCTGTTCAGGGGTAGAAATAAACTCAATCATCTTTTGGAGAGCTCGAGTTCCATGCTGGTTCAAAGCGATCTGAACCAAATGAGGAGCAGCAATATTGATAAGACCTGTACGTTGCTCATCGTTGGTGAATTCAAGCAGTTTTTGACATAGGTAGTTGCCAAATGGATCTGGACTCCATAGTTAGTATAATCAAATATGAAAACGGAATGAAAAGACGGCGAGTGCATCATACCGGTCATGAGCTCGACGACGTGCATTTGAGTTTCACGGAAGATGATTTGAACATGCTCAGGCACACCCTCTTCAAGCTTTCTCTGAAGGTACCGACATCCATGCTGGTCCTTACACATTCCATAGATTTCGCCAGAGTAATTCTCAAGAGGAACATTGCCAAAGCGGTTCAATGGGTTCTCAGAATCTCCATTACGACGGTTTTGAGTTGCAGTACGAGGGCTCTCTGCGAATCTACTGTAGTTGTTTGGCTGAGGTGGCTGTGGCGCCATTCCAAATGCTCCGAACATCGGATGACTTTGGACGCCGGCATAGTTTCCGTTGAGCTGCAATGGCGCTGGGGCATATGCTTGCATGCTATATCCATAAACTGGTGTTGCATAGGTGCTTGGTGTAGGGGTAGCAGACCCGTTTACGACCGATGGAGCAACGGTGGTTGGGGATGTCAAGACCAGGGCGTGGGACATGGCATTGGGTTGGAAAGCAGACTGGAAAGTCGGAATGCTAGGACCAGGCTCCTCACGGTCGGAAGAAGATTGAGGGGTGGGTGGAGTGGTGTTTGCGGAGCCACCACGAGAATGCATCCGACTATGAGTTTGGTAGTGGTTCTGGGTAACTTCGGCCCGAGTTCCGGTGGCAGAATCGCTTTGAAATCCATTGTGAGTAGCAGGAAGATCATTTGTTGAGTAAGAGAGCTGTAAAGAGGTTGGCCTATGATGTCCAGATGTATTGTTTTGCTGGTGGGCAGCAGAAGCAAGAGCACCAAGGCCAGAAAGGTTGCTCTCTAAAGAAAGACGGTTCACATGACGCAGGGACTGGATATTCCCATTGCCATTTCCATTAGTTTGTGGGGAGTTTTTAGCTGCGTTATCAGACCACCAGGATAAAGTGTTTTGCGGCATGCTGTGGTGAACAGCATGATGACGACCATTACCATTATAGTTCTCAGGGACAGGAGTGCGGGAGTTTGCAAAGTCAACCGCTGCAGAATTGGCTGAGAGCTATTTAAGGTTAAAGGAAGAGTGGGTCAGTAGTAGCTCAGGAAAACTACAAAGGATGAGAAGAGAGAACTTACAACTGATGGGTTACCATCCCTACGCACTAAGGTAGGGAATTTGTCATCAGGGTCTGTCATGCGAAGGTAGCTCTTCACGTCTGGAGTAGAAACACGGTCTTCGTTCTTAGATTTATCCTCTTCAGACTCCAACGGATTCTTCGAAGAGAAAAGTGAGCTGAAACCCATATGGTTATTGAATCCGTTGGTACGAGAGGAAACTGAGGGCAAGGCTGATCCAAAAACGTTGTTTGATAAGGAGTAGCGGCTTCTATAGGTCCGGTAAAGGATAATCATAAGTAAGTGGAAGTTGGTAGTCAGTAAGAGAAACTCACGTATGACCAGCTCTAAAGCCTGTGAAAGCAGCTCCGTAGGTCTGCTCCGAGTTTCGACGCAGACCCATCCCCATTCCAGTACGGTTGGCAAAGTCCTGGTTAGAAGACTGGTTGGTAGTGGGAGATGTCACTTGGGAAGTAGGAGAGAAAACACTTCCAAATGGTGACACGGGTTGTCCATTTGAAATAGAAAACCGAGCTGGACGAGAAAGGGCAGTAGGAAAGCCGTTGTCTCGATAGTATTCTGGAGGAGTGGTAGGCTCGCTAACTGGGCCGCTGAGACCGACCTGAGCAAGGTCTCTGGCAATCTGGTCCATCTCCTGACGTTCTTTTTCCTGCTGGAGGTCGAGAATTTTTAAGTCTGCTTCAAACCGGCGCTTCTGCTCCCGCATATATTCAATATGCTGTCGTTTCTTCTCAAACTACAAAGTTTGTTAGAAGGAGTATGGCAAGGCAGAAGCGTTATGGAAAGCAGTGATCCTCTTAACAAAGAGGGAGAGAGAGCAACCAGGTTAAAGGAGAGAGAAAGGTATGGCAACGGTAAGAGAACAAGGAGGAAGGAAAGGAGAGATTAAGAGAGGGAGTTGGGAGTGAGGAGGGAGAGGGAGGAGGGGGGGGGATTTAAGGCGAGGCGAGATGTGGGTAGGAGGACAGAAAGTGAGGAGGGTTTTCTGCTCACAAGCTGGGATTTATGGAGGTGGGTGGCCTATTCAAGCAACAATTAGTCTATTGGTCTCCTAGTGAATTGGCCAAAAAAGACAATATCAAAGTGAGGACAGCCTGATGTTCAGCTTCACTTTTGACCTGACATCTCGATCACGCCATCCGAGGACCAGGACAAAGCGCGTATTCAAACTCACCGACGACAATATATCCAGCTGCTCGGCCTGCTTCAATGGTTGCTGATTGAAACCATTCCACTGCGGCAGCACGGCCGACTCAGTGGTGAAACGACGCTGCATGGTCGAACGGACCTCGCTGGTTGACGGCTGCGCGTTGATACTGTGCACGAAGCCTTTCTGGCTTCCCTGGGGCGATGGGAACGCAGAGAAGGGCGATTCTGAGGGAGGAGACTGAGGAAAAGGGCCAACGAAGTCGTCGAGTTTCCCACTGAAGCTGTTTCTAAAGGCCATATTCCTGGGCATCTGCTCTCGAAAAGCCGCGAACATGGTCAGACATGACGCAAAAACAAAACAAAAAAAAAAAAAAAAAAAAAGGAACGTATATACACGCAGACGAGGAAAAACAAATCAACACGTTATTATACGCAAGACATATATATCAGACATCAGTGCTGGGGAAGAGGGACGTCGTTGAGATGGAGACGCCCGGAGGTTTGCTGGCGTCTGAAATAGATTTCAGGGGAGGTTCGAAAGCGGTGAGCTTCTTCCCGCGTCACGGCAAAAAAAAAAAAGCCAAAAGAGTATGAAGTTGGGAACAACGCCCGGGAAGTCAACCGCAGGCCAGCGCAGAGACGCAGGATGGCGAAAAGGACGAAGGCAAAAGGACAAGAGGAAGAGGCGAAATTGGGGACGAACTTACAGCTACAGAGATCCTTATTTTCGGTTAACAGGGAGGGAATGGTGAAATAACTGAAGGACTTGGGCTGGAGTTCGGAGGCGGCAGATCCCGTTCAGCCAGCGCCCTGGCTGGTTGATTCAACCGCTCTGCCGCTGTCAAACCAGAAATCAAGGCTCGGATCAGCCTTTTTCCTTCTGCTGTAGGCTTACACAGTGCCGGTGCTGGATTTACGGTCTCCCTCTTGGGCTTCTTTTGGCGGGGTAAACAGTGCAGGTATGAGACAGCGCTGGGGCGGGTCAATTGGCGAGAGGGTGGTCCCAAGGGTGGATGGTGTCTGGCGAAAAAAAAAGGAGTGAGCAAGGGCGTCTCAGAGATCCGCTTTAAGGAGTCAAAAGGCTGAACAGGCGGGAGAAACTGCCCAGAGTGACTAATATACATACGGTTTTATCTCTCCAAGCCAAAACGGTGACAGAGCATGGAAACAGACAGAGCCGGTCGTCGAACGAAGCGAAATCGAGCAAGGTCGGTTGTTGTACAGAGCATGGGAGTGCCCCTGTGAGACTTGGGGAGGGCCAGCAGAGCAGGACACGGGAGGGAGAGGGAAGCCCAGGGAGAGAGAACAGAGGAGGAGAGGAGAGAAAAAGGAGAAATCGATGAAAAAGGAGGAGGAAGAGGGACCAAATATTATGTGATGGACAGCGGGGATTCAGTTCAATGGCTTGCAGCAGCTCAAGCATCAAACGATGGAAAGGCAACCTTGAAACCCTATGTTGTCTTGTCCCAGATAGACATCGAATAATAGCAACTGCTCTGGACGAATGGCTGGCCTCCTCACTCCCCTGGATACTTAACCACGCCTAAATATTCGCCGATTTCTATTTTCTGATTGGAATACGTCTTGCAGAAACCCTCGAAATCCTAAACAAATAGGGTTGCGTCAGGCAGGGCTACCCGCTGCCTTGGGGGTTCCACTGAGGGGTCACCGCTACTTCGTTCTTTGCCCAACAACTCGCTGTCTTTGGCGCTGCATCCTCGTTCGCGAGCCGGTACCAGTGACCTGGCCCGACGCCCTCCCGAGAAACGAGCCGCGGGAAGAAAGGGCGGGGATACAACAGGCCTAGTACGGAGAAACAGCTGGGCGGACGGTTTGTCTCGAAAGTTGACGGGAAAGGTCCATCCCATTTGCTTGTGTTAGGGAACTGACAGCAGCAGAAGGAGGCGTTCAGAGTAAAGTTGCTGTCGGCTAACGAGATTAGTGTTTTGTGCATCTCAACGACGCATCAGATTGCAAGGTACATGGTGGCATTTCTTAGGTGCATACCTCTCGATATATGCACGACGACGTGGGTGGAGAACTCCAGCACCCGATATATGATCCAATCAAAGGAGTCCGGAGTCTCTTACTTCTCAATCACTCACTGACACAAGGCCCAGAACCTGTGCGTCCTGCGCAGCGTGCAGCCTTAGGGTCTGTCCGTTATATATTATTTCGCCCTTATCATAACTACGAGAGGCAGCCGGAGCAAATGAACACCCTGTCTATCTCCTCACCTCTCTCGCTTTGCTGATGAGAGAGACTCAGGAAGAGAGTCATAAACGCTGATCGAACCTTCGAGTCCAATGAACGCAGACGGGGAACTCTGATCACCGCCGCCCTTGAACCTCTGGCAAAAAAGAAACAAGCATCCCCAAAAAAACACACAGACGAAGTTTCAATCTGATTTCTCGTCATACTCCCCACATCATCAGCAAAAGAATCCTCGCTCTGGGTCAGTTATCAAATATTACGGTCGCGGATACGGAGCACGCAGTCAGGAGGCTGGAAATGCGGAGAAAGGCTTACTATTTCCCTCTCTTTCTTTCACTCCGTGTTTCTTTTCCGTGCCTTGCCCTCTCTGAGAAATAGGAAAGGAAAGTCGCACGGCCAAAATATGGATTGGCCTGAGATCTTTGCTTTTTCTTTTTATCTTTCTTTGAATGGGGTTGTTGGCTCCAGGCACCCTTGACATCTGTCTTCATTCCGGGACGGGGGTCCGTGTCATTAAACTACCTTGTTGAATGGGAATTCTTCTGATATGGGATTTGGGCTATTTTTGTAAAGTGTGCCTCTAAACCTGGCAGTCACATCGAAGATGACATCTGGTCCGGTCAGCATCCCGACTTCGAATGAGCGGTGGAAATGCCACCGCATGGAAGCGGCCGCTAAGTTTCGAAGTATGCAAGCTTGCCACGACGCACCATCATAGACCCAGCCGTTTGAGCAAGATAAATGTACTTTTTGCGGTACAACATGCCATGTACCATGCCGTAGAAGGTTGCCCCCGCCCTTCGTTCCCGCAACTCACAACAAGATATTTTGGGGACAAGAAGAGTCCAATTATATTTTTAGGGCTATTCATCTCTTAGCACACATCAACGTTTTCGCGGAGCATATGCTGATGTCTCTCTAGGTTTTCTCCCGATCCAACCAGGTTGCTTTCCCCAGGTTTTAGTGCCAAGTACACACTTAAGGAGCCTGGCCGTCAACGTATGCGGTGATTGGCAGGTCACTTTTCAAATGGTCCCATTCTCCCGCGGGATCGTTGGTCGGTGTACAGTGTAACTTGTTGTCGGTGCATTGAGCTTCATTTTAAATATCCAGCGAGGCACTAGATCTACCCATGGCTGGCGGAAAATTGGAGTTACGTCGTCTATACGACAGCTTTTTTATCAACCGTGCTCCTGCTTGATGGGTACGTTTGTTACGTTTCTAATCCCACCAAACCATCTCCAGGCTCTTGTATTTCGGAAATGCCCTATTTACTCCAACGAGTGTGTATGCATCGCTTACAGAGCATGCACGGGTCCTTCGATCAAGTATTATCTGCGGCAATGAGTTGGTCTTTTGCACTCTGACCGGGGATAATGCAGGCTGCTGTACAACCTAGATGAAAGTTGTTGTCAAGCTCCCCACTTTACAGTGTTGATTCTGATAGCCGCATACCATCATTGCCGTCCTCATCCTAATCAAGTCAAGGGTGCGAGGCACTTTAGGTATGCACCACCTTACCGGTTAGGTATCGAGTCGGTGAGGCCGCAACGGACGGAAAGCAATGATACCTAACAACCGTACCTGATGCTACGCTCCCTTGACAGCCATTTCTGATTTTGATACCTTCGCTTAGCAATTCGACTTTGTGGGTTGAAGAAACTCACCTCCAATTTGAAGTTGATTTTCATTTGATAGAAATTGTATCTATCAAATGATTCACCACGACAACTTCTCAGGACTTGTATCTAAGCGAGTAAGTTGCGAGAAGGTGAAATCCCTCCATGACTGATATACCATGATAACAATATGAAATCTGACGGTTGTAATTCCATTATATTATGGTTGCGCAAAAATGACACTTTTTTTTTTGTCGAAGGTCGGGCAACGTCCGGCTGCGACTTTTGCAATCATGTCCATGCTGTCGAAAGGTTAAGTATTGGGTTCAAAGGTATTATCACGGGCATCATTGGGCAACTTGTGCATTGTGCTCCGTAATTTCACTACTGTTCATCCTGTAGAGAGGATTGTGTACCTCGTTGCCCATATCACTGGAATCCTTTGCAACACAGAGCAAAAACTAACTGCTGCTTTCAGGTAATATGTGTTTGATTAGCAGTAGGATATCGGATATTTGAATCCTACTCTTCGGTATAGCAGTGAATTACATCATGTTCCATTCCTGATTAATTTCTGAACTCTTAGGTCTTATCCGTGGTAATGCTCTCGTCAATATGCGGAGGCCTAGAATAGCGCGATTCAGTTATAATATGGATAAGAGAAGAGTTCAGTATATCCCTGCTGCAATACAAGCGATCGATCAAATCTAGTGGTATCAATGGTGAAATGCAATATGTTTGCTGTCGTCGGTCTCGTCGATGTCCTGGCGCCTCCGAAGCGCGGGCCACCACCTACCGAAAGGGCAGGCGGCTCAGCGGCATTCCGGAGAATCAAAAATGCGTGGAGGTTCAAATTCCGGCCCCTCCAATCAAGCATCATCGAAAAAAAAAGTTTATACAGAAATAACACTGACGAGCTGATACAGACATCACTATGATGGCTTGACGCAATTATAGCTATTGTTTTGATTTTTTTTTTTTTTTTCATTCATGCGCCCCCGGGATTAGTAGCACGGAACCATGCCTCCTCGGAAGAAGATGGTAGGTCCGAGTGTCGGGAGTGTGGCAAGCAATGTAGGTGTGATAGTGACTCAATTATTCATATCCGCAAAGTCGCAGACAGAATGCTAACCGTCTAATACAGCTTACATCTTCCCCAGGCGCTCGGAGACGATCTTCTGGGAATGCTGCCGGAAGACTTACAGAAGATCCGCACGATGCAGAAGCTCATAAAAGGAGACGTAACTCAAATGCGCAAAAAAGCAGACGATCTGATGTACGCTTTTGGGTTTCTATTTTACCGTATAAGAAGTTGCGAAGTGTTCTAACGAAGGCATAATGCAGGACTTTGAGGCCCTCCTCGAACCATTTTATTACGATAAACACTTGACCGACCCAATCAATACCGAAAGAGATAAATGGAACCTGTTACCGGCATTTCTCAAAGTCAAAGGCCTCGTCAAGCAGCATATTGACTCTTATAATTACTTCGTTGAAGTCCAACTCAGGAAAATTGTGCAGTCCAGCGCAGAGATTCGCAGTGACATTGATCCAAAGTTCTATATCAAGTATGTTGAAGGTGCTTGCAGGAACTTGCGCAAAGGCTGACTTTTATTCCTTTCAATCGCAGATTTCATGACATATATCTTGGAACACCTCGGCGAACCGACGAAGAACAGTCAGGCATCAAGGCTGATTCCACAATAACCCCAAACGAATGCCGGCTTCGGGATATGACCTATGCTGCGCCTATTTTGGTTGACTTCGAATATGTCCGTGGCCGTCAGCGAGTTAAGCGAAACGGTACTGCGATTGGCCGTATGCCTGTCATGCTCCGGAGTTCTAAGTGTGTGCTATCAAATAAGTCGGCACGGGAGATGTATACATTACATGAATGCCCTCTTGACCCCGGCGGATACTTCATTGTTAACGGTACGGAGAAGGTCATTTTGGTGCAAGAGCAGCTGAGCAAAAACAGAGTTATTGTCGAAACAGATCCAAAGAAGGAAATCGTACAGGCTTCAGTGACAAGGTATGTTTAAAAGAAGTTGGTATATATAACTTTTCTGGATTGCTTTTACTAATGTACGACATATAGTTCTTCGCACGAACGAAAGTCCAAGAGCTATATCATTATGAAAAAGGGACGCATCTACCTCCGACACAACGTTTTGAATGACGATATTCCGATTGTTATTCTATTGAAAGCCATGGGAATACAATCTGATAAGGAAATGTTGCTGTTAGTTGCTGGGGTTGATATGGAATACCAGGAAGACTTTGCGATAAACTTCGAAGAAGCTGTCAAGCTGAGTATATACACCCAGCAACAGGCTCTTGAATACTTAGGTGCACGTATCAAGATCAATCGGAAAGCTTCAGGTTTTGGGCCTGCACGCCGAAACTATGTTGCGGAAGCTATCGAGGCCATATCTTCTGTTATAATATCCCACGTCCAAGTGCAAGATATGAACTTTCGGCCAAAAGCTCTCTACGTTACTCACATGGCCCGGCGTGTGCTCATGGCAAAACTTGACCCAAGTTTGGTGGATGATCGTGACTATGTTGGCAACAAGCGACTGGAGTTAGCTGGTCAGCTCCTGGCATTGCTGTTTGAAGATCTTTTCAAAAAATTCTGTTTCGACATCAAAATGAACATAGACAAGGTCTTGAAGAAGCCAGTACGAACTGAAGCCTTCGATGCATACCCGGTCGTTGCTATTCATGGGAATCATATCACCCAGGGAATGAACCGTGCAATTGCAACCGGTAACTGGAGCTTGAAACGTTTCCGAATGGAGAGAGCCGGTGTCACCCATGTTCTAAGCAGGCTGAGTTATATCGCTGCACTCGGTATGATGACCCGAATAAGCAGTCAGTTCGAGAAGACACGCAAGGTTTCCGGTCCTCGTGCACTTCAACCCTCGCAGTTTGGCATGCTCTGCACCTCGGATACCCCAGAAGGTGAAGCGTGTGGGCTTGTAAAGAATCTGGCACTCATGACGCATATCACCACAAACGACGAAGAGGAACCTGTCCAGAAACTTGTCTTTACTCTTGGTGCAGAGGATATACAAACTGTTGGAGGCAGAGAATGCTTCGGTCAGGGTGCTTATATTGTATTCATGAACGGATCCCCGATTGCGTTGACTAGGCGACCAAAATATTTCCTCAATGCTTTCCGGCGTCTACGACGAATGGGCAGGATATCGGAATTTGTCAGTGTGTTCATCAACCATAACCAGAAATGCGTCCATGTTTCCACCGATGATGGTCGTATTTGCCGCCCATTGATTATTGTCGAAAAGAAACGATCGAGGGTTACAGCCCGACATTTAAGTGCTTTACGAAATGGCACGATGGATTTCGACGATTTCCTCTCTAACGGGTTGGTGGAATATGTTGACGTCAACGAAGAGAACGATGCCAATATTGCCGTCTACGAGAGAGAGATAGACGCAAACACAACACACCTAGAAATCGAACCATTTACAGTCCTGGGAGCCGTTGCAGGACTGATACCTTACCCCCACCACAATCAATCTCCTCGAAATACCTATCAATGTGCTATGGGTAAACAAGCCATAGGCGCGATTGCTAATAACCAATTTCTTCGTATCGATTCTTTGCTCTATGCCATGGTATACCCGCAGAAGCCGATGGTGAAAACTCGAACCATCGAGTTGACAAACTACGACAAGCTTCCAGCAGGACAAAACGCAATGGTTGCCGTGATGAGTTACTCCGGGTACGACATTGAGGATGCTCTCGTGTTGAATAAGGGGTCGGTAGACCGTGGATTTGGGCGCTGTCAGGTCTTCAGAAAGTATTCGGCAAACCTCAAAAGTTATTCGAATGGGACGAAGGATAGACTCGTTGGTCCGACGAGAGAGAACGGAGTATCGATAAGGAAACACGGTCTTCTGGACAATGATGGCTTGGCTGCAGTTGGAGAGAAAGTCAGTCCCGGAGAAGTTTATATAAATAAGGAGACGCCAGACAATGCGCTTTCGTCCGGCATCACTGGCTCTGATGCAGGTTTACCAGTGAAGTATAATCCAACCCCCCAGACCTACAAACTCCCTGATTATAGCTACATCGACAAGGTAATGATATCCACTACGGAAGGTGAGAGCCAGCTTATCAAGGTTCAGACTCGGCAAACCCGACGGCCAGAAGTTGGTGACAAGTTTTCATCTCGCCACGGACAGAAAGGCGTTGTAGGAATCATTGCGGAGCAGGCAGATATGCCTTTTACGGACACAGGCCTGGTCCCTGATATCATCATGAATCCTCATGGTTTCCCGTCTCGAATGACCGTGGGCAAGATGTTGGAGCTCGTGGCAGGGAAAGCCGGTATCATTTCTGGCCAATTTGGCTATGGTACCCCGTTTGGTGGCAGCCCTGTCGAAGAGATGTCTGCTATTCTTGTGGACCACGGGTTCAGTTACGGTGGAAAGGATTACTTGACCTCAGGTATCACCGGGGAGCCCCTTACGTACTATGTCTTCACCGGCCCGATTTACTACCAGAAACTCAAACACATGGTGCAAGATAAAATGCACTCACGTGCCCGTGGGCCTCGAGCAACGCTTACCCGCCAGCCCACAGAAGGTCGGTCTCGAGACGGAGGTCTTCGCCTAGGAGAAATGGAGCGTGACTGTCTGATTGCGTACGGTACAAGCCAGCTTCTACTTGAGCGGTTGATGATATCGTCCGATCGCCATGAGGTGGATGTTTGTGAGAGTTGTGGATTTATGGGCTATTCTGGCTGGTGTCAGCGCTGCAAGTCCTCCGTCGGGGTGGTGAAGATGGTCATACCCTATGCGGCCAAGTTGCTTGTGCAGGAGCTTTTCAGCATGAATGTTGTAGCGCGGTTAAGGCTGCAGGATGAGTTCCCCGAAGATCGAGGCATGTAGCATGTTTTATCGTAGCGACTTTCAAGTTGGCATTTTTTTTTTTTTTTTTTTTTTTTTTTTTTTGGACTTTTGCATTTACGTGGGTTCGATTGAGTACTGGGACAAAAAGAGAGATAGATATCCAACATAACGAGTGTTCGCAATGTATATTAGTGAATGACATACATCAATGATAAACAAGCGGACGAAATCATTGGGTCTACTGCGCCTCCTAGCTAGGCAGTGCAGTGTTTCTGCCTTTACTTGGCAGCATCCATCTTCTGCTTTGCGAGTGATGCAACACTCTGTACATCCGATTGAGTGATGCTTCCAAACTGTTGTTTCCAGAACTCCCAGCGTTCAGGGCAAAGTCTTGCCTTGCCCTTATACAAGCTTCCGGCCGCGAGTGGCTGGCCTCTGTTTGGCTGCTCCTCTGTTTTTGCTGCCTCTTCCTCCTCTGCCTCTCTGGCAGCATCACCCTTTGCTTCTTCGAGTAAGTACTGACCGCTATACAGCATCCATTGTGCTGCAGCAGCAACGGCACACTTGTGGCTTTCTGCCGCCGTAGCCGGTGCCTCTTCAAGAGCAGACCGGAGACTCCAGACGGCAAAGTTGGACCAGTCAACCTGGTTGAGATTCAAGAGACGTGCTGCAAAGGCATTCTGGTTGATCCATCGCTCGGCCTCCTCAGAGCTGGGAGCCTTGTCATCACTTGATGGTCCTACAAGCGTATAAGCAGAAGCCAGGCCGACATTCTTCTTGTCCAGGGGACCGGCTTACCTATCCAAGCCTCTCTCATAGCCGGTCCGAGCAGAGGCAAATCAGCCCACATTCTAACGTTGCTCTATAAGGGTATGGAGATTAACATATTGCTTCGCTAATATAGGGCCCCCCATCTTGTCCGGTGATCTTATTGAATTGAACTCACCCCCCAGATCTCGATCTCAGTAGCCGGCAGCTCAGTCAGCGCTTTGATCAGCTCCACCAGGCGGTCCTGAGAGGCATGGTCACTTGGGATCTGCTTAGCGATCTCGATGATTGACTCCCAGATCTCCAGAAGAAAGCTTTCGTGGTCTTCCTTTGGCTTTCCACCATCAGACTGGCGCTTATCTGGTGTCAAGTCGTCAATCTCCTTGGCAGCAGCGGAAGGAGCTGTGCAGCTACCAGGCTGCAGGTATCCGTTGAGAACTTCGAAGAGATTTCTATGGACGATCCAAGGGTCACCATCTTCAAGAGATGGAAGACGGAGAGAGAGAGGTGCCATGCTGTCGCTCAGAGATGCTATTGCTGCTGCCTGTACAATCAGAAAATTGAGATGAGTAGTGTTTCGATGAAGCATGCAGCGGGGTAGTTGTTATATTCTTTGGCGGCCTTGAGGATCGAACCTCTCTTAGCTGACTAGTAACTGGTCTTCTGTATACTTTCTGCTCTGTCTGCATTGCTGGAGTGGGGAGAAGCCTGAGACCTACAAGCGACGACTGAGCATCGACCAAGGGCGCTGTGACGTGACATAGCTATTGGCTGCGGATAGCTGTCTCCGGTTCTTGGCCGGGAAAGTCGACCGGGCGCAAGGGAAGCGGGAGAAAGGTGTTTTCTGCCAGATGACAGGCATTGGTGAACCAGTTAGCCAGACAGACGCCAGAGTGTCCTTTTGCTGTTCTCTGGCTGGCTTCTATCCTGCTCTTTTTGGGCTGTCACTGGCTTCAGTGCCAATGTCTATCAAAGACGACCGACAACGACCTTAAGATACAGCCTTCTGGTTGACAAAGAGACCCCGTGGGTTTGGTTAAGGTTCGGGAGTGGGAGTTTAAAACGTTAACTAAATGCGCTGAAAATCTGACTGATGCTGAGATGCGGTGAGATCCTACCTCGCCTACTTACCAGTTAACCGCATATCGCTGGGAGGGACTTTTTTGCTCTGGTTCGTGTTCTGGATCTCCACTCCTACTACTGTCTACCTGCTGATATATTAAGTGCCTGGAAGCTGTGATGACCTGTCTTAAGATCGCCCGATATGAAGACTACATGGGGTGGTTGGGAAAGCAGGAAAGGAGCAAACAGGGGGGAGCATAACAAGGAGATTTGCCACGGGCCCAGCAACGCCTGCATGGAGTAACTCAAAGAGTAAATAGATAGTAATTAATCATAATAAATATAATAAGTGGCCAATGGAAAAATGGGCGCTTGTCCGGAATTATGAGCATAATAACTATAACTGAGCGAGCTAAGCCAAGAGAAATTAGTTAGACACGCTTACCTAATGGAATATCGTGGCTAGTGAAAAACGGGAGCCCGATGGAAGCTCAGATGGCTTAACTAGCCGACTAGCTAACATTTGACTAACTAGTCAGTTAGGTTAGTTAACTACTTAGCTAGTTATTAGTTAGTTATTAGTGAGCTAGCTAGCGACATAGTTATGTGCTTACGAAGTAGTTAATTGCGCGATGATCTGTAGACCAACATCAGTGCTGGCAAAGCTGACACCCAACGAGCCAACGAGCCAACGAGCCAGGCTGCCTAGGGGACCGGGGAGAGAGCAGCATGGAGAGGAGTTTTCTCTCCCTTCGGCTGCAGTTGCTTAGATATCCCGGGGCTGCTGGCCAAACGCCCCGCTATCAGGGCCCTCGTTACCTTGGGGATTTGGAGACTGGCCAACCGTGTGCTAAACAGAGATCTGATACCCTATACTTACATGCTACAGGACAGGCTCCACATATCACTATAGGATACCACCTTTACAGGCTCTGTGAAGAGGATGTCTTTCTCCCTTTCTTCGAAGCCCAGCCGAGAATCAACATGCATGCCGGTCGACCTACCTACGCAGCAGCTTGACGCTGTACTGACAGATCAGCTGGCCAATACACAAGCAATTCGTTTGCATTCTGGACAGTTCAACAATTCACCGTCTAGCAATCTGTTGGCTATAACTCCCTTTATCCTTTTAGCCTTTGGAGAGGAGAAATGATGGTTAATCTACATCCTCGACAGAGTATCCCTCTTTCAGTATCAGTTTCCATCTTCATCTTGGGGGACGAAGTAGAACATGTTATCTTCCATGGTTACGAACTATAAATGACCACAAAATCGTTATCTTGGCCGTCACTTAAGTCTGCAGTTGGGCTTCAGTATTATAGCCAAGGCTAAGGCTGATATCTCGCTGGAGTCGTCCAGTTGCTGCTATCCTTCATCGCCATGCCTACGTCCGATTAAAATAGGTATCCAGCTCCCTAGTCACTTGGGTAACCTGGCTTCTACCCTACTTAGGGATAACCTTCCAACGGTCAAAGCCAAGGTAACCAACTGACCAAGATATCCTACAATCAGGCATGGCAATCCGACTGCTAGATAAGATGTTTTCTTATACCTTCGCAGACCGAGAAATCCGCCTAGAAATCTAGACATGCTTCTACATGGAACATTTACTATGCTATGTCTAGCAAGCCAGCTCATCCGGACCCGCCGATTCTCCTCGGATGCTGTATCTCACTGTCCCAAATCAGCCTGTGGTCTGCCCAAGACGATACGAATATTGCCTCTACCTTTCATCCAGATGACTGCTCAACTGCGACATCCTACTTGGCAAGATCTCCGGCATGGCCTAACGATTGTTCGATCCCACGATCCTAGAGGTTATCGAGAAGTATGGGAAAGATATGAAGAACGACGTCTATATAAAGAACCCTTCCTTCTCCTACAGAGTCTGCTTATATCCTCTCATCAACACACAGACCGTCGAACGCAACACAACAGCATCTTCACACTGCTCAATCCATTATACGAAACATCTTCCACAAACCACCTCTCGTCAAAATGGTGTCCTTCAAGACAATCCTCACCCTCTCCCTGATTGGCGCTGCATTTGCAACTCCCATTGAACAGCCAGCTGCAGAGCCCGTTGAAGGCTCTGACGCAGTTGCAAATTCCACTGACCCAACCGCAGGCGCCATTGAAGGGCGCGACGTGCTTGTAAGAAACATCCTTCGCCAGCTACTCAGTAACAAAAAGTCGGGACTGACAACTATATCCAGTACGTCCAATGCCATAACGTGGCTCTCCCGCCTGCCGCGCAGATAATCGAGGTTGCAAACGCTCAATGGCAGCTTGGCCACGCTCCGATCGAGACCGGCAAGTCTGGCTACCCTCACGACTTCCTGAACCTGCAGCACTTCCAGTTCCCTAAGGGCTGCAAAAACAAGAAACTCCGCGAGTACCCGCTCTTCCAGCGGCACCATAAAAAGTACGACTATGACTCTCGCCCCAAACAGGACCCAGGCCCCTTCCGCGTCATTGCTACTAAGGACACCCGACTTTACTGCGGCATCATCTCTCATGATGGAATGGGTCACAATCCAAACGCTGGACTCTTCCATCTCTGCAAGTAGATGTATCTCTTGCCACACATTCCGATTTCGAGGCCTTTGACGCACAACTGACTTGAGTGTTTATGTGGTGGAGGATCTAATGATGCCTGAAGTATTGTGGGAGATTGGGATGATTTGTCTGGAAATGCTTATTAGTCTGAAGTCTGACTTTCATCAATTAATACCCTTTAATAAGGGACTATAATGAACCTTAGGAATAGCTCCGCACTCTCATTGAATAGTTACCTGAATAAATCCGTTTGGCCGAACGAAACCAATTATTCTATACTCCATACACACACTAACAGTTCCGCTATTCGATAACTTCTACATACTCCACTCTTCTATAATTTCGCTAGATCCAACCAATAAAGTAGTAGCACGGGTATTATTGCGGCCATCACTTATTTGTGTCGATTTCCCATACTCATACGGCTCGACAACTGTTTCAAAGCGCACGCAGTCAATCGGGTTCAAGTAATTTCGAGATAATAAATCCCCTGCGCATCGGGGACTGCTTGGATATGTAGCGGAAGCTTCAAGTAGTTTGCCGGTATATAAAGAGTAAAGCTGTACTGTCGACAAATCGGTTGCTGTACCCAACCTAAGTTAGTATAGAGCTCATCAGGGGCTTCTGAGAAAAGTGAGACGTACCACAGGCCGCAAGCCCCAGTTCAGCAGAAACATCCAAGTCATTGAGTGTGTTATAGTTGATCTCGCCGAACCGAAGGTATGGTGTGCTAGATCGGTGACTCCGGCTATTTGGATCTAGATGACGTTGGACAGCTGCTCGTGTGAACCGCAGATCATACATATCAAGCTACGTATCGCATTGTTAGACCAGAAGCTCTAACTAGCCCCCCTTTCTTCCCCGTTCCGGTTTGAGGCAAATATGTGTATACGGGTTTGTGGAATTCTTAGATAAACTTACCGTATTATCAAACCCGGCAACGAGGACCTTCGAGTCGCCCACCATTTTCAGTTTTTTCACACCATGAGAATGCACCAGTCGTGTAGTCGAGGCAGCGCACCGCCAGTCCGTTAGAGCTACGGCTGAATTCCGCAGACCGACAATCACTTCGCTATTGCTTATCCAGTCAACTGCCATTATATCGGCTGGATAGACATTAAAGCGACCCATCGAGTGCATTCCATGTGCAGAGCTCACAACCATCAGCTCGTTGCCGTGCCCAATTATGAATGAACATGAATGGGCACCTGGATAGGCCGCGGCTGAACAGAAGCTTGCATTTTTCCGCTTAAATACCGAGTAATCTAACGCCCATTGCACATTGTTAGCTAGTCAGTAGTAAACAGCAAGGACTACTACATCTGTTTGTCTTACTCTGGAACACACTTCTGCTGCTTCTGCCATATATCTCATCAGGCTCAATGAGCTTGCACACAGCAAAATCGGTGCCTTTCCCGGACAAAAGGCCCTGGGACACCACGCTGTAAAGGCGGTTAGCAGCTGCTTCATCCAGTACAGGCAGGTATATTCTTGATACTCACAGTGCGTATCTTTCCGTGTTTATAGCGACACTGCCAACCTACTGATTGGTTAAGATGCTGGCAATAACGATAAACATGGAAGACTTACCCAATCACAGTGATTGAGTTCGATTATGCCCTCATCAACACGCTCGTCATATTTCCATGGCCTCTTGGACGATAGAGGCCGAAACGCACTAATAAAGATCCACCATCAGAAATACTACCCAACTAACAATGTAATCGGGGGAAGATAGGCGGTAATAACTTACCTAAAATTAGACGTACTCGTAGCTTTCAGAGCTTCAATATCCCACGTTAGCTATACGCATTCGATCCGCCGGGGTTTAACCCATCCACATACCGGTAAGTATGATTCCAGTTTTCGGATCCCGCGCAAATTCATGACAATACTGTCTTCCCCTACGGTTGAGATTAACCAGCTCCCGGCGCTCCATAAGATTGGCACACGTCATAGCTCTTTGGCTAAGGGTATCTTTACTCAGTACTCTGCATCTGCCTGCTTCCTGCTCAACTCCAAGGATGCCAAGCATAGGGTTATAGAGCATTTTCGTCCTCTTCACCCTTTCAAGCCGTGTACGTTCATGATGCGCGACCTTTTGCCGCTTTTTCTTTTCTTGGTTGTAAGTAAGTTGTAGTGCATGATGTGGGAGTGTCGGGCGCTTACTTGAGACTGTTTCTCGCGTTTATTTATCTCAGAATTGGTGTATTTTGGCTCACATTGACTTTGGGGTGTATGACCGGGTTGTATCTTGAAGTATTTCTTCTTTTCGGCATCTAGGGTATCGTTAGAGCAGTATACCTAATAGCCGATGAAACGATCTTATCCATTAATTTTGGAGAGCTAGGTGGATATAATATAACATTTGCCTCTCATTTGCTTTGTTTAAGCCGGAGGGAGAGTAAGGGATACGGCAGTCCGACATACCGTAGTAAAATCCGGGTATTGACCTCATGTTTATGGTGCGGATATCATTGCTGAGGCGTTTAGACTTTCAGCCTCCTATAAAACCGAATAAATATGGCTATAATACGCTGATTTAATAGATAAGAGGATACGGGCCTGTAAAGCGACTTTTTTATTGCCTCTGATATATCCGGGCAGGGTATCTTGAATGTTGCAAGTGGCGAGTAAGTTGAGAGAAACCTTCAGATTGGGTGATCCAAGTTTTTTTTCTAGGCGCATTTTAAGCCGCACTCTTATTTCCCCCAATCGCCGGCATTACATACTCACCAACTAACTAAACCATAGAAAATAAAAGTAACTCCTTAAAAGCCGCATAACCGCTAGACGGATTGTCCAAGGAGTTCCTAAGCGATTGATTATTATGTTGAATGATACGTTGAGTAGAGATTTGAAATAACATGACGTAACTAGGCAAAAAAAAGAAAGAAAAATCCAATGTGTTCAAAACGTCCATCAAGGTACTCCGCGATCAGCAACCAAATGGCCTGACATCCACTGCACGCTTCAATCTGTTCTCGCCGCACACATAGGGCTCTCCAGCAGCCTCCCTCGCCATATCATTAATCCACCTGCCATGCGGCTTACACTTATCGCCCTTCGACATCGAACTGGCCAGATAAAGCCACGACAAGATATTACCGACTGTTGAAACCTCATCACTAACACTCTGCAGAGCATACGCACTCATACGGTCATACAGCTCGTGGTCCGTCCATAAGTCATAGAGGTGTTTTGCCACTGCGTCCGTATCGCTGACTTCAACCAAGTATCCGTTCTTGCCATGCTGGACTTGTAGCGGTATGCCGCCTGCCTTGGTCGCAATGACAGGTTTACCTTTATGCAGGGCCTCGGAGACCTTGACCTCGAAGCCTTCGCGGGTGGATAGTTGCAGGGCTATTCTGGCTTTTGAAAGGACGACATTAAGAATTTGGTCGGAGGGAGGGATGTGGATGACGCATATTTTCGATTTGAGGTGTGCGAGGTCGCGCGATAGATACTCTATTACTGAGTCGTAGATGAGAGCGCCGTCTGGGTCGTCGACTGAGCCGTGGCCGCAGATTAAGAGCTTGGGGATAGAAACGTCGGGCGCGTCTTTGACGAGGTCATGGAATTTGGCGTAGGAATTGAGAACGTCGAAGATGCCTTTAGAGGGATCGAAGCGGGCTACTTGGACGATATATTCATCTATATTTATTCATCGGTTAGAAGAATATATAAGTCTCCAAGGGGATGATGTGCCTACCCTTTGGATAGTCAATGGTGGTCATGCCTATCTCCCTGCATTTACCATTGAACACACGACCGTAATATCCCACGTCCCAATCATCCATGGACTTATTCAAACCATCAAGCCTAGGCACATTAGTATGCATTGCAACACAATGCAAAACACCCACAAATAAAACTCACCAATCAGTAGCTGCAGGAAGATATCCCACAGACTCCTTGGGAACCGTACTAGGCACAAACGCCTCAACGGGATGGCTGATAAACAAATCAGCCTGACGGATACTTTCCCAGAAATACTGCCAGCACTCTTCTTGCGGCGAGCCCGGCTGATCAATCAGATCGCTTCGGATCTGTATATGACTCCTGTAAATAACGGGCCTGTTGGGAGTCGCCTTTTTAATCAGGGGTATCAGGCCCGGCATCTGCGGGTCATCGATGATAATTATATCCGCTCCTCCCTTCTCAGGCGGTTCAAGGGGCCCTCCCTTACCGAACCAGTATCGATTTGCATTCGCGAGGATCCAGTCCGTTAGATCTCGTTTATGCTGGTTCGTTAGTCGTTGGTCAGGCGCAGCCACGCCCTGGAGAATGTTATGATTGTTCTTGGTGATGCGGAATACACCTGGTCGTGGCCGTGGCACGAACCTAGTCAACCGAGTTAGAATAAGTAACGGAACGTAGCAAAGGTCTTTTGACTTACCACTTGATGTTCGTTCCAAGGGCATGCGAGAACCTGACGAGAGCATGCCTCATCAATGCCACGCCTCCCCCTTGCGGCGTACTGCTGAAGAACGCAATCTTGACATTCCGCTCTTTCATATCAGCGGCATATTTCATCACCGCTCTCCACGTACGTTCGTCAACCGTCTTCTCATAATCGGACAACGAAGTAAGTACCGCCGTCGAGCCGGCGTCTACATCAACCAGTCCCCTGAACCCAACCTGCAATAACGGCGCCTGGTTAGGCCCAAAGTACCTATTTCGCCATCCATTAGCATCCAGTCAAACAAGGACTCTGCAAGAATGACATACGTAATGCACTTCCTCGCAATGGACTCGGCTCGCTCATCCAGCGTCTTTGTCTGCCACAGTTCCATATTAACCCATTCTAATCGCTGCGGACCGTGCGGATCAAGTACGAACGGAACGATGTCTAGCTCCGCCCACATCCGCGAGCACAAGGCCGGACACTTCTCAACCAAAAGCGAGGGCAGAGCTATGCCGAAGAACTTCTCCAGATGATCCTTCTCGTACGTGCGCAGCTGGTCGATGATGAACTGCGTAATCACCTCCCCGACCTCGCTGGGCTCATACTGCTCAATGGAGAAGTGGTGTTCGCAGAAATCAAGGAAGTAGACTGTATCACGGATCGCAAGCGCGATGCCAATCTGCTTGTCGTCGTTCTCAAAGGAGAACGAAATGCCGCCGTATATTGTCTGGAGACGTTAGCGGGATAGAATACGTAAGAGGTTTTGGTGGGCGTACCTCCGACGGCGGCCCAAGCCATGACTTCTTCCTGATGTTTTCTAGAAGATGGTATTTCTGGTATACTGATGTGCGGCGCTGGAAGAGTCTGTTCTGCGAGGTAGCGGCATCGACTACCTCTGCTAGATGGGGGGTGAAGTGATGCGCCGGGGGCGCCGGATGGTGCGCTAACATGGTCAATCGTCAACCTACTATCAACGTATCACTCAGATAACAGGTAATGATGGCTACGTGTGTATAGGTATGAATGGCCTCATGACCGAGGGTATAAATAAATAGACGGGAAGTAGGGGAAGTCGGAGCTGTTGCGTCACTTCTTCCAAGCTTAGCCTAGCTACTGGTCAGGTCAGGTCACCGGGCATGCTCCATGGCCCAATGAAGATTAGAGACATTAGTAAGAGCTCGATGTACATGGTACATATCAACATGGAGATATCCTGGGGAGTAGAGGAGGTATATGGCGATGGTTGATGGTGGTTTCGACATTATCCTGGCGGTTCAGGCATAGCAGCATCATAACGACCAGGTCGACCATCTATCTCTACGACAGATCGAGAACCCGCGATGAAACACCTTGCATCGAAGTATATAATACGACAGGTAGCTACTTCAACACCGCTCGAGCTAAGATAGATAGGCCCATCCAGCTCGTCTATCTGCGTGGCGAGAAGTCGAAGCCGAAGCTGAAGTTGTTTCTTTGACGTCCAAGTAAAGTTCGGGGGTCAAATAGTACGATTACCTAATCACACACACGTAGAACAGCCGCAAGAGAGAGATAATAAGAGAAAAATGAATACAGTCTAAGAATTAAACCACGCAGGGCATATCTAATAGCTACAAATTAGGATAATTAAACACTCCAAGGCCCATTTATCAGCCAGAAAGAAAAAAGGTAAAAGAAAAAAAGTAAAAGAAACATAAAAGGCAACCCAAACCCAGGCATAATACAAGGTATGCATGCATGTATGGTATCCAGTAGAAACTTGCCTGTTGCTTTTTATGCACGGATCAAACTACATCACTTCAAAAAGACTTGCTTGGTTGGTATTGGCAAAGGAGGACCAGATTATTTGAATTTTTTCTTTATTTCCGCTCTAAACTGTTTGTTTGTTTGTTAGGCCGGGCCCGGATCCTGCTAGAGTGCGTATATGGGTTCACCAAGCTAGGGTCGTTTGCCGTGCCATGCCAGGGGGTAAATCTGGCTAGCTGTGTCTGTCTATATGAAGGACAAGCAATGGGGGGTAAGGGGGTGTGTGCGTGAAATTGGTAGTAGTAACAAAGAACAAGAAAAAGATGCGCGCAGGGGGTGTTGTTTGAGCTTTAAACAAGGCAAGAAAAGAGGGAATACAGCCTCCGAATTAAGATAGCGCGTTTTGGGGAATAGGGGTTATGTTCATTTATGCGCTCTTCTCGTGCTGGGTAGAGACACGTTGGAGGGAGACAACTAGAGGAAGACATTAGTAGCTGAATGGATGTATATAGTATGTTGGGAGGAGGTAGGGGCTTACCGAAATCTTCGAGAGATCGCTGCTTTTGGCTCTTCTTGGGGCTCTTGCCGTGCATCATGTTGTCGAAGCCGGTGGAGCCCTGTAGGAGGTAGTAGATACCGCCGAGAACACAGAAGACACCGAAGGAGAAAACCCAGATACGCACGACGGCGACGATGGAGGTCTGACCGCCAACGAACCAGCCGAAGATGGTGAAGAGGGTGGCGATGATGTCGACTACGAGAATAGCACCAGACAATTGCCAGGATGGGATGGAGGACCAGAAAGGACCGTTGGCACGGGTGATGAAGATAAGCCAGTTCTCGGTGAGGGAGATCTCGAGGAAGAGGACAGGGTCGATCTGACCGAAGTTCTGGACGATACCACCGTCCTTGCCGCCGACGAGCAGAGTGGTGAGGGTGATCCAGGTTCCAATGGCGAGGATGACGCCGAGGAGGACGGACATACCCCAGAGCTTGGGCAGGTTCCACTTGACGGGGGTCTTGGAGAAGGGAGCGTTGTCGTAGGCGATGGCCAAGGTAGCGATATCAGCGAAGATAGCGATGAAGACGACAAGCTGGAGGTTGAGAGAGGTGTTGAGGATGGCAATCCAGAGACCCAAGAAGATCTCGAGATGGAGAGACAAGGCGATACGGTAGACGACGTAGGCGTACATACGGTGGAAGATCTGACGGGAGGTCTTGAGAGCGTCAATGATGGCGGAGAGACCGGGGGCAAGGAAGACGATATCGGCGGCAGATCGGGCGGCGTCAGAAGCACCCTCGACGGCAATACCGGTGTCGGCCTTCTTGAGGGAGGGAGCGTCGTTGACACCGTCACCAGTCATGGCAACGAGGTAGCCACGCTGCTGCAGGATCTCGACGACGTTGTACTTGTGCTGAGGGAAGACTTCGGCGAAACCATCGGCAGCCTCGACGAAATCGTAGATGTCAGATCCGGGCATGGTACCGCCACCACCGAGACCGAGACGTTCAGCGTTGTAGATGTTGGTTCCGAGACCGAGCTGGCGGGAAGTTTCACGAGCAATACCGACGGCGTCACCAGTCAACATCTTGATGGAGAGACCGAGGGTCTTGGCTTCGTTGACGGTCTTTGCGGTGTCGTGGCGTGGAGGATCGGAGCAAGGCATGATTCCGAGGATCTCCCAGGAACCTTCACCGCGCTTGCGAGCAACACCGAGAGAACGGAAACCACGGGTAGCGAATTCGGCGACCTTGTTCTTGTAGGCGGCGTCAATGTCCTCTGGGATGGGGTGGTCTTCCTCGACGGTCTTGAGAACGAAGAGAGGAGCACCCTTGACACAGATGATGCGCTCACCCTGGGGGCTCTCGACGACGGCAGAGACCTTCTTGGAGACGGGGTCGAAGGGGTGGAACTGGAGGACCTTGTACTGGGTGAGGACGGACTTGGCACGAGGGTAGTAGCGAAGAGACTTGAGGAAGGCCTTGTCAATGGCATCGATACCCTTCTTCTTGCGGGAGGCAGCGAGACAGGCAGTGAGCATGAGGTCCTCGGGGTCGACACCAGAGACGCAGTAGGGCTCAGCGAGAGAGAGCTTGTTCTTGGTCAGGGTTCCGGTCTTGTCAGAGCAGAGAATCTCGACACCAGCGAGGGACTCGATGGCAGAGAGCTTCTGGACGATAGCCTTCTTCTTGGCGAGGTAAGCAGCGCCGACAGCCATGGTGGTGGTGACGACAGCGGGCAGACCGACGGGGACACCGATAATGGTGATGGCCAGGGTGAACTCGAGGATGGTGACGATGCCGTTGGAGCGGTAGAAGGAGGCAACCCAGGCAACGAGCAGGGTGAAGATGACGAGAATGAGTAGGACAGTTCCAATTCCGTTAAGGACCTCAGTGAAGTGACCGCTTCCGGCGGAGGCAGCGTTGACGAGGGCGGCGGCACGACCAACGAAGGTGTTGTCACCGGTAGAGGTGACGACCATGAAGGCCTCACCACGCTTGATGGAGGAGGAAGCGTAGCAGTGGTCTCCCTTGTGCTTGTCGACAGCGAGAGACTCTCCGGTGATGGCAGACTGGTCGACCTGGAGGAAAGCATCTTCGGTCACAACACGGCCATCAGCAGGAATGATAGTTCCCTAAACCATTAGCATTGATCTTCTACAATAAAAAAAAGTAAAGCATGCTGTCAAAGCAAAGATATACGAAGTACTCACTTCTTCGACCTGGAGGATGTCACCGGGAACGACTTCAGGAGCCTCGACCTCAACAAGACGGCCGTTACGGAGAACGACAGCCTTGAGGGCGAGGGTCTTTTTCAATTCATCGACAATGGAACCGGCCTGGAACTCCTGGATGAAACCAACACAGGCGTTGAGCAAGAGAAGGGCGCAAATGACACCAAAGTCGACCCAGTCTCTCAAACCGGCAGCCAGAATAGCGGCGGCCTATATAACTCTTGTCAATACCAATCAATTGAAATCCTATGAAGAGAAGCCTTACCTCCATGACGAACTGGATGGGTCCGACAAAGTAGGAGAAGAACTTGAGGATGAGGTTCTCCTTCTCCTCCTTCATCTGGTTGAGACCGTACTTCTTGCGGCGGGTGGTGACCTCGGCGTCGGTCAGACCGGTGCGGGTGTCGGTCTGCAGCAGCTCGTCCGGCACGGGACGCTCGCCACCGGGCTGGTCCTCGTCCTCCTCGTCGATCTCGTCGATGTGGCCGTCCTGAGACTCGAGGTCGGCAATGAGCTGATCCATGTCCTCGTCCTCCTCGTCTTCCTCGGGCATGGCGCCCTTCTTCTCGTCGAACGCGGCCGAGGTCTGCTGCTGGTGCTGGTGCTGCTGGACCTCATCCTTGTGCCCGCCGCCGAACTGGCCGCTGGGAACAGCAGTGCCGAGATGGTTTGGCGGGACAGGCTGGCCCTGCCCCTGGGCTGCGTGGTCGGCCATTGCGACGACTTTTTGTGTTCTTTCAGTTCTTTTTGAAGTGTAGTTTCTTCGTGGGGGTCGTAGGTCGTAGGTCGTTAGCTGGTCGTAAGCTGGGAGCTGGTCGGCGATCCTACGTGCTCATCGAACAAGACGCAGTCGCAGTCGCAGTGACTGGCTGGAATTGCAGAGAGGAAGAAGAAAGGGAGGAGAGGGCGAGAAGAAGAGAGAAGAAGGGGAGACGCAAGGGGGCGAAGAGAGGATGGCGGGTTAAGAAGAAGTAAGAAGAAGCAGAGAAGGGAGGAGGAGAGGAAGAAGAGGGAGGCAGGGAAAAGAGCGAGGGCGAGCAAGATATAAGAAGAAAGCCGAGCAGCGCCAGCAGGAGAAATGAAAAGTGGGTGCGACCTGCCTGCTGCCCCGGTAAGGTATGGTAAGACGCCTGCAAAGAAGGACTCTAATGGGAGCGTAACTTTGGTAAGGAGGCGTCAGGATACAGGCGACCCAAGGGAGCTCCAAGGCGTATCCGCGGTAAAACTCGATCGGGACTAGCGCTGAAAAAAATAAAAAGAAGAAGAAAAGAAAAGAAAAGAAAAAAAAAAAGGAAGAAAAGACCCACTTGTTTTTTGGAGGCTTTTCCTCTTTCGGCGATGCTGGTGGTGTCACGTCTTGTCACGTCTTGTCACTTTTGGTATTTACGATCACGATACCAGCAAGACAGCAGAGCAGGAGTAAGAGAAGCAGCGGTGATAGTAGAAGCAGGTAGCAGTGGGAGTAGAGTAGAGTAAGTGGAAGAGTAGAGGAGCCGGCTAGGACGGCGGCAGGGCAGAGCAGCAGGACAGCCAGAGGAAGCCAGAGGAGCGAGAGGACGTCAGCCAGAGAAGCCTTGGGCGGAAGTCTTCTCCTCGCTCGACGGACGGCTCTCACGGCCGATATCCTCTGAGAGCTGAGAGCTGCTCATCCTCTTCACCTCATCCTCTACCTACGTCACATCTACACAGGACTACTCCAGCAGTACATCCTCAGACTGCCTCTACCACTCCTCGGCCTTGAACGGGCCTGAACCGACTCCGACTGACCGACCGGCCTGCCTCCCGAGCCAATAACATCGCCCTTTTTGGCCCTCCAATACACCCTCCAATACACCCTCCCTCGCCCTCCTCCATCTCCCTCCCGCCGCCTAACAAATCTTTGTAACGCTGGCCGCTGGTCGTGGTGGAGAGAGCAGAAAATTTCGTCGAGGGCTCTAATAACTAACTCTCTCCACAATGGCCCTCCTTACCCGTTCGCTCCCACGTCTTCATCATCATCCATCATACCTCTACTCTACGACAGTCAGAAAATTTCTTACGCTCGCCTCAAAAGCTTGACGGAGTTTCCGTGGTCACGTGAAGGGACCAGGGAGGCCAAGGACAAGCGGTTTGACGAACAGAAGGCGAACGACCAAGGCGAGCCAGGACGAACAGAAGAGAAGAAGTCAAGTCCCGTATCCCCCATGGGGTTGGCAGGCAGGGCAAGGCAGCCTAAGAAAAAAGGGGAACAAGGATGTTGGTTCTCCCTCTCCGCCGTGCCGTGGTTTTACAATACTTTGTTAAGAAGTCAAGTACGATGTCCAAGTCGTTTACTGTAGTTGAGGTCGAAACACTTGGCGAGATGGGACAAGGACGGCTTCCTTTGCGCTCCCTCGATCGCATCCATGTCGTAGATCCAAGACGAACTCGTCATGATGCCAAGGGAGAGTCTGAAGGAAGCAGAGGCAGGTCTCTGGGCGTTGGTTGGCATGCTGTCTGACCTCGTCCTTATATACAAGGTGAAAGGGTGAAAAGGTGAAGAACCAAGAGCGATGTGCGATGGTAGAGCGCTGATAGTAGCACCTGAGAGACCTTGGCGGGTTAGCCATGGACGCGCAGGCTGAGGCCGGGCTCTCCTGTCGCTTCTTGTCTCTCTTGTCTCGTCTCTTGTCTGTCACTGTTTGTATGCCCTCTGCCTCTATTGTTATCTCAGCGTACGTACAAGTATCAATCATAACGAGGTAATTAACTCGGCCGTTACAGAGTCCATCTTCTGACTCTTTTCTTCTTTCTCTTTCTTCTCTTCCCGACGAGATCAATTGCTTGTTTCTTGCTTATCTCCCCCCTCCGACTCTGCCTGCCGACCTACTTCTTTGCTGCTCACCTTTCTTTTCCTCACTTTTATACCTCGTCGAAGGCAAGTCTCAAACTGACCGCATAAACCAAACCTGCAACGACTAACCAGGTACGCTTACCCAGAAGAGGCCCAGCTGACTAAGAGATGCTAACTTTTCCCTCTTGGACTGGCCGTTCAAACCAAAAAGAAAAAAAGACTTCCTTCGGCAAGTTCGGCAAACTCGTTCGACGCCTCGACTTCCCACCGTCCTTTTTTTTTTTTTTTTTTTGGTGTTTAAAACGAAAAAAAGTCCTCAATTTCGGAGCTAAAGTGGTGTGCAAAAGCAAGCAGGGCCAGAAGGGGAAATAATCCTCCACCCCACGGAGACGGAGAAGAAGGTCTTGCTTAAGGTTAGAAGGTAAGTTGGACTCCGTCGTTAGTAGTATCAGTGTTAAGGTCAGGCTGTCCCGAAAAGACAGATAGATTCTGCATGATCGGAGTTGGTTAACTAGCAGAAAAGAAGGTTAGACTGGCTCGTACTTAAAAAAAAAAAGGGCCGCGGATGTAACGCGACGGCGGGAGTTTATGACGGGAAGCCTGAAGCCTTACCAGACAGCCAGACAGACAGACCACTTTGACTACTTTCTACTCCTGTTAGCTAGCTGACTAGTTGGCTGATCGTTGCTTTTGAAGGTTATGCCGGAGTAATAAATGTAGCTGCAGGCCAGGTTAGGTGACGATTTCTCCCCCCATCAGGTGATTGTCGATGACGGCCTCTAATGCAGCGGCTCTCATTGGTCAATGGCTTGTTCTGCTTCAACAGTCAGTTATTTTCCTTACTTTTGTGCTCGACGGCCTTCAACTTACTTGCAGTCTATCTATCTATAGAGATATATGGAGTAATTCAACCTGGCCGGTATCTGGTTAAGTAATATAATGCCATGCTGTGTCCATCTCTCAGCGGGTAAACGTGGAGTGCCCCGTTAGTTATCCAGCAGGTACAAAGAGGCAAAACCGAGAAAACTCCTTCATCGATGCGGTGTAGCTGGATGCGAGAGCCACTCGGGGACTCGTTGCCGGGCCTTTCTTCTTCTCTCCTCTTCTTCCTCTGTCTATGCAGAACCGGCCGGTAGGATGACATAGCTCACACGACCGCCTGCTTAACTTAATCGAGGAGGGAGGGAAGCGGCGGCACTTAGGCATCTTCCAGTCCCCGTAGATTGGGGGGGGGGGGGGGGGGGCGTCGTTCCTTTTTCTTTTCTATCTTTCCCACCTTTTCTTTTGCCTTTCTCTCTATCTTGCTTTCCTCTTCCTTGCTTTTTTGTTATACGTAGATTACCGTTTTGCCTGTGCGTCGGGCATGAGATGGACGTGGACGTGGACGTGGACGTGGGCATGGACGGGTTTGCAAGCCATGCCCCATGCCCCATGCCCATGCCATGCTAGCGTCTATGCCGGGCGGCCACGCTGACATGTTCAACTCGAGACAGTCAGTCAGTAGTAAGTATATGGACAGGCATGGTTATATCGGTCGGTACGGGCGAAAAGTGTCACCGGACTCTCTTCTCTCTGGCTCGGCTCTGGCCCTCGTTTCTTCGTTTCTTTTCCCGTCCCTTTTTCCCTCCATATTCCTTCCTGCACCCCAGTCGAGGTTCAAAGCGTCATCTCACTCATCTTTTTACGCTTTCTTTCCGCTTTTTGCTCCCAATCCAACGGTCTCCGGCTCTGGCTCCGGCTGGCGCGGATGTCAAGCACTGTCTTTTTTTCTTTTTGGCTCCTCTGTACGTACACCTTAACACGGCGTATATCCCGCAATTGACATCCCATTCATTCAACTCGTCACCGTATAATGGATGTTATCAATTGCGTCTGCCGGCCCGCATCACGGAGAGATACGGCTTCGTCAACAGCAACAACCACAACAACAAGCAAGATAGCGATTATGCACATCAATGCTTTTGAAGACAGTAGAATCGCCAAGCCGGGTAGGCGAGCAAGACAAGACTCGTTCTCCTCAATCTCTCCCCATACTAGTTAAACCAGTACTCTGTCGTAGTATTCTTGAGAGTATCCAGCCAGCAGTTCTGACTGGACCAAGCCCTACACTAACGGCGTCGGAGTCTCGCTAGGCGACGGTTGAATGGGCCGCCCGGTTTTCCCCTTGGAGAGAAGAACGAAGCGAGCGAGCCTCTTCTTCTAAGCTCTTCTTCTTTTAGGGTCTTCCTGCCCTCGTTTTCTTCTCTGGCGTTGCTTCAAAGCTGGGACGGACGGGGGCGGGTCAGGAAGGATTTCCGCGGGCCTTTGGAAACAAGCAGCAGGCGCAAAAAATAAAATAAAAAAAATAAAAAAAAAATTCACACGAATCACGAAAATGCCGCAAAGGTCGCAAAGATGAATCAAAGTTTTCATCCACCCCCAAGCGTCGCTTTTCTCTCTCGCTCTCTCGCTTTCCTCTTGCTTGTCTCTTGTCTCGCTTTTCCCGCCCTTCTTCGCGTCTTCTAGAAAAGCTTGCCTGCGCTCTTGTGTCGTTTTATCGTTTTATTCACGCATTATTATGCAAGCTTCTCCTTCTGCTGCAGCACCTCGCTGGCATCCCGTGTATGTAAGAGCGTACGGAGACGGCCTCTCGATTCGGTGCTTTGCTAGTGCTGTGCTGCTGTAACAGTTGCAGCAACTAGCAGTACATATTGTGAGACGGTGACCTCATCGCAGCCATAAGATGTTCCTTGCTAAGTATATGGATTAGTGCTCTATCCACCGTCTCAGAGAGAGCTATTATTATTACTTCACCCTCGCTGTTTATCCCTCTCCCGTTGCCATCGTAACGGGGCCTATTAATATTCTCGGGGTGGTCCATGCCCAGGTGTCATCGATGCATGCAAATCATCAATCGAAGCAGCTAGCGAGTCTGGTATGCCTTGGGGGAAAGGCCATGCCGGTCAATCAGAGCAGAGAGCTTCCTCCGCTTCGTCTGTCTACCCTTGACGCTCCTTGCAGCTGTCTTTTCTTTTTCTCTTTTTTTTTTTTCTTTTCTTTTCTTTTAAATCCCTTAGGTCCCTCTCTGGGGAGAACAGGCGCCATTTCCGACAGAAGTACGATGGAGGAGGCCCCAGGCGTATCTTGGGGCGTAATCCCCATGAATATGACGAGAGCAATAATCGTCCTGTAAAGTAATCTTCAAGCGATGGCGGTACCATACAGGGGATGTCCTTCACTCTGTATGTAACAATGCCTCGTATCGCTCTCCCGCTGAGGATAATTACCTCATCTCTCTTTCTCTTTCTCGCTCGAGCTCCCCCCAAGAGTTGATTTGATGTGCGGTATGCACCCGTATCGAATACCATACACACCCCGTATGGTACGTACGTATGGCCGTATGTAAAGTAAGCTGCTGTATGTAACCTGCAGGACGGGACTAGCTCGCGGTAGTCAAGGAAGAGCAGGACAAAAGGACAGGGGGGCGAAAGAGATGAAGGATAGCTTCCCCCAAGCTCCCACAAAGCAAGTCATGATGACACCTCGCTCGCCCAGCACCGCACCACCACCACCAAGCAAGCACAGCCGCTCAAGCTGGACCAAGCCCGCCCTCCAGCCATTGCCCATTGCCCTTCGACCCCTTTATCCGCCCGATTGACCTGCCAATGCCTCTCTCCCTTCCCCCCCCTTTTTATTCTCAATTAAATATTTCGCAGATCGTGCTCGGCGCGGGCATTGGCGACCAGGCGGCGGCGGGAGGGACGAGGGAAAGGAAGGGCGAGCAGGAAAAACGAATAAGTCGACTATGAAGGGGAGAGAGGAAGTTTGCCCCAAGCTGTTCGCTCCCTCGTCATGCTGCAGATGTCGACGTGGGTTGGTCGGTGGAGTCCCATGGGTAGTTAGGAAATGAATTTTGAAACTGCGACCATTGCCTTTTCTCGGGCTGCGATTGGTCCACTTGCGCTGGGCTGCATATTGCTTTGCCAGGGGTCAGGAAAGGGACGAGCAGATGCGTGTTTGGCGGCGGCGTCGGTGATGATTCTGGTGATACTTGGGTCTGGGGCCCTTCTTGGGGGGGCGGGCTTGGTAGGAGTTGCTCCGGCGAGTCAAGTGTTATCTCTTTCCCTCCCCCCCATTTATATATCCATTGATTATATCATAGTGTATCCGTACCTAGGTAGCTCGTGGATGGGCATGCTGGGCTCCGAGATACTCTAAGTAAGCTACCTAAGTTTGTTAGTTACGTCCGAGATCAGCAAAACAATAACATATGAATATAAACAAAACAAGCTACGCGAGCCTTTTGCTTCTTTTTCGTCTTCGTCTTCATCTTCAGCTTCAATTTCAACTTTGATGGACGACCTCGCATCGAGAGGGTAGGATGAAGAAGCAAAAAAGGGTAACAAAAAAGAAATGAACCAAGCATGCGCTCGGGTGATAGGGGGGGGGGGGGGGGGGGGGGGGGGGGT